CAGACGCCGGCTTTTGAAGGTCACGCTGATAACGAGCCAGATGATCCCTCTAGCAGGGATCTATCCATCCATCCATCCATCCATCCATTTTCTAACACTTATTCCCATTCCGAGGGTCGCGGGGTGCTGGAGCCTATCCTAGCATCTTCGGGCGAAGGCAGGGGACACCCTGGACCAGTCACCAGTCCATCGCAGGGCTGACATATAGAGACGAACAACCATCCACGCTCACATCCACACCTATGGACAATTTAAAAGTGGCCAATTAACCTAACCCCACTTCTGCATGTTTTTGGGATGTGGGAGGAAAGCGGAGTACCCAGGGTAAACCCACACAGACACAGGGAGAACATGCAAACTCCACACAGAAACACCCTGACCCGGAATCGAACCCAGGACCTTCTTGCTGTGAGGCGATAACCACTACACCACTGTGCCGACCCTTGCAAGGATCCATGATTTGTCAGGCCACATGACGGTTCCAATGGTACAGCTTGAACCTGCATTCATGGACTCTGTTAACAACTGTTTTTTGGAAGCAATTCTGAGCTGACTTCCACTACAGAGTCATGGCATTGCTTAAGGGCCTTTAAATCAACCATATTTTTATAGTTGAGTGGAGTTTAAGTGGAACCTTGTCCCACTTTGCAACCACCAGGCAAGAATCCAGTTATGCCAGCAATTGCAATGCTCGGTACACCTTGAGTCCATCTCCCAGTTGATCTGCAACATCATGTACATCAAAGCCTCTCAAGTATTTGCTTTCCACTCTGCAAACCAGATGATTCATCGTCGATTTCTATCAGTTTTCAGGTGCAAACGTTCAGATTTTAATCGTTCAGCTTGAACAAAAGTTTAATATATGATTTGCCAACGTCTTGAAGTCGCAGCCAATAACTTCCTCAACTCTCAAAGCAGTAGCGCGCTGTGTTTTATTACAACAAGGCAGAAGTGAGTTAATTTTAAATGTCACGAACATGTATCAGTGTCTTTTGGGTAATAGATCCTTGGGAGGGGAGAAAGCACACATGCGTACAACAACCAGACAGAATGCACAGTAGCCTGCACTTAAAACCCGTCGATCACCGCCCACTTACAAACACACACAGTGCTGCTGTGTTACCATTTCTCATTCCCTTTATGTCTCTCTGTTCTCTCTTTTCAGCTTCCAAGAGCAGGGTGCGGGGAGTCATTTGCTAATTGGTTTTGCAGAGGAAACGTATTCGCTCGCCTCTTTCTCCTCAATACCCCAGGGCTCTCTTCCTCTTAGATGATTCCCCTGTCTGTTGCTCCTGCCAACTCAGGCGAGCATCTACCAAGGCTTGTTATTCTTCTGCGTGGTGTAAATCTGCAGGGCTGCAGGGAGGGGGGGGGTTACAAAAACACTTCCCCAAGACCTGGAAATTATTAAAGTGTTAAAGGGAGTGCATCTGTTTCTTTACACTTGTCTAGTACGGATAATAAACATCAAGATTTCATGAACTTTCTGCCACGTAACATCACAGTTAATTTGTTGGTTGAGTGGAAGAGCTCCACGTTTTTTGGAGTTTCATAAGACGCTCTTATTAATTAGCTCAGGTTGTTGTTGCGGCGAGAACAAACTTTCAAATCCAGCGTACGCCCTCAGCATGAGCTCAGTTTATATTTGTTCATGGTGCCATATAATCCTGTTTTATTCTCGTGGAATAAAAGGGTCAAACTTGTGCTATCCATTTGAAAGAAAACCAATTAAGCAGTAAGGATAAAATCTTTGTTTAAGAAAAACAGCCACCGGGGGGGAAAGAGCTGGGTCATAGATCTTGGCGCCTTAGCCGTAATTACAGTCAAAATGAACTATAATCGTAACGTCAGTTTGAATCATTCAGGTATGTTTTTAAGGCACGGTGTTTCATCCTCTTCTATTCATGAGTAAAAGTAAAAACGCAAGAAATAGGTCAGGATGGTTGCATGGTAAATAACACCAGGTGGAGAGCATTAAGCCTGCAAAGTGAAACATAAATCATTCAGTTGTGTAAGTGATCCTGTTAGCCAGTTACATATCTTCAAAAAAAAAAGGTGCTGCAAATCTCGCTCTCTGTGGCGTGTGGATGCAAAACTTCCTCTTACTTTAGTTAGGGTTGGAAAGCGACCCAATCGAATGAAATACAAAAATCCCGTGGAGGCAAGAAAACTCGGTTAGTTGTTCTCTGCTAATGCGCTTTTATGTGTTTGTTTGAGCACTTCCAAATCCTCCTGACAACACTCAGCATGTTGCCCACACAAGAAAAACAGACTTATTGACTTGAGATGTGCGGTGTTGCCTCAGCTCGTCTAAATTAAGCTTAAGCCCCAGTTTGATAATAATAATAATAATAATAATAATAATAATAATAATAATAATAATAAACTTTATTTGTATTGCACCTTTCATGACATGTGATGCAGCTCAAAGTGCTTTACAGGTTAAAAACAAAGCACAAGTGCTTTACAGACAGGGTAGATGATTGGCAATAAAACAATAAAATTAACAATAAAAACAATAAAATTAGCAATTAAAAAAAATTAAAAAAAATAAAAATAAGCAGACAATAAATACAGAAACATAAAACAACATCATAATAATAGCAAATAGTGCGGACATGATCAAATAAAAGCAAGAGTTTAAGCACCACACATAGATATTTGTATGGATGAAGGTTGATGCCTCTTGTCTAGAGGGGTTTCCGTTCCCCCATGCAGGCAAGGACACGTCTCAGTCTTATCCAAATCAGTGAGATACTCAAGGCTTGCACAACCTTTACATTTAACTGCTTTGACATGCTGTGTGTACTGTGCATGTCTCGAGCCCCCCGACAAGATGTTTTCCCTTCTTCCACTGCGCCTGAATGGAAACAAACCACAGATGTGCACATCTGCTCAGGGGGTATTCAGGAGTTAGTAAAAAAAAAAAAAAAAAAAAAAAAAAGACGGCACCAAAGTCATAAAATCTTCATAAATGTCTCTCATTTGCATGAGGGGATTGAGAAGCATTAAGGAGGAGGAAGCTGCCTACGAAATGTTATCAATTGGGATACCCTTTAGTCAAGCCTTGAGCGCTTTTCAGAGGCAGAACTTTCAGGTTGAAATGCAAACGGAGGTGTTATTTAGCGGATGGTGGTACAATTAGCATTTAAGTGAGCGGTCATGAAAATAAATCAGGCGATTAGCGTTCAAGTAGGGCAGCGAGTTAATCACTGAGGCGCTTCTTCATTTTTTATTCCAGTTTTGAAAGCTGTGCATGTGCAAGACTTTATTTTACCTTAAAATTTTGAAAAACAGCTCAGAACAAAACTTAATTACTTCTTATCCACCTTTGACAGTTTGGGTTGATATCTTGTCGGTGCATACAGTTACAAACCACATCTCATTATCCTACCATCTCTGTTTTCACTCGCATTGAAGTTACAGGTTCAGAGTTAGTGAGAGGTTAACAAAACTCCTTTTATATTACATAATTGAGATGAGCGTAGCTTAAAACTCAAACCTCTACAACCATCAGACATGTTAAAAAAAAAGATGACAAGTGCAGACACGCTTACTGTCATCCTCCTGTGACAAGTTCACTCTCAAGTTTCACCCGTGCGACTGCCACTGTCTCATGGTCCCTGGGTGACGGAGAAGAAGCCGTGTCCTCGGGGCGATGTGTGCGGCTCAGAGCGGAGATGAAACTCCATAGGCGATGTTTTGTCTGCTGTCATGCTGAGCTTTATTTACACCCTGAGCTCCTTTGACTTTTGGGACTTTGCGGCTGTCGTGCTCCTCATCAGATCTCTCCTGCACCAACAGATGCTACACGGGAAATTTCTGGCATTGTTGTCAAAAAAAAAAGGAGTACAAAATTGCTCTCTTTGTGGAATTTAGGCACCTTAGAAACAAGAGTTGTGCATGAAAAATACATGCTCATTAAAGTTTGACACTATGTACATGTTGGGCAAAAACAGAGCCAAGAACATGCTTGAACCACTCTCTCTTGTAAACTGCACGGGAAAAATAGCGCAATGGTTTCAGAATAACGTTCCTGTGAAGAATTTGAGTATTTTATGATCTCCAGGACATGAAGTTATGAATCTAGAGATATCTATGCAAAGCAGAATCAAGGTGTTCAAGTTCTTGTGTGGCACCTCGTTGAAACAGTCATGACTCTGTAGTGGGAGTCACCGCATGGGCTTAAAATTGCTCCAGAAATGTAGTCTAGATGGATTGAGAAGAATTTTAGAAATCCTAGATGCTACATTTGTAGTGCAAAGGCCAAAAAAACTGTAATAAATGTTCCTAATTCTCCTCTTTTCAATAGTGACCATGGTATAAGAGGGGTAATGTCCTTGAAGGTGTTCCTTATTAAGAGCTAATGGACTGCTTCTTGTCGGACACTTCTGGCCTTAATGCCGTCCTTTAGTTCCTGATAATGTCCACGTCACTGGGCATTATCCCTAATGAAGCGTTCACCATGTCAGAGAAAATAGGGCTGGTGTGCGAGAGACCAGATCGTTCCTCCAGTTTTGATCTGGGTGTGTGTGTATATATGCACGAATCTTCTCCTAAGTATCCAGACTGACACCAGAGCTGACCCCTCAGATAACTCCCTGAATTCAATAGACTGTGAAGATTCTTTAGGCTGGCTCGAGTTGGATGGCAGATCATGGCGGCTAATGGAGGATGTGTATCACCACTCTAGTATGAGAGTATATACTGGAGAAGCTGTAACTCTGGATTCTTTTGGCTTTTTTGTGGGGGGGAAACGTAATTATGTTAGAGATACAGTTCCTAATTTAAAGTGGCTTTTAGAGTAGACTAAGTAGAAGTGAAGTGTATAGATATTCATCCTTAAGGTCCTTACAAACTGGGAGCGTTTTTTTCATGCGATTTTTTTCAGACGTCAATATTTTTTTTCAAACTGTATCCTGTCAATACAAACGTTCACATCAGCGACGTTTTCCTGTCCTGCGATATTGCGGCATTTATTTTTTTCCATCACGGTCAATTCTTCTAAAGTTTTGCATACTGTGTGTCCACTTCTGACCAATCAGATTGCGTGTTGTTGCGACGTCAGATTCACCGGTATATCCAACATGGCCGACCGGCTAATTGTTTACGTGTCGGAGAACAGAGTGCTTTTTGATAAAAAACACAAACATTACAAAGATAACGACCTGAAGGACAACTTGTGGAGAGTCATAGCGTCGGATTTCTCATATGACGATGGTTTGTGTGCTTTAACAGTTTGCTAAACGTCTTTGTTTTAACTTTCATCTGTGCTAAGTAACTTTAGCTCGTAAGCTAACCTGTTCAGATACAACATACCATATGTATTTTCACTGTCTCAAACTCAATCGTGTTGCTGTCACAGCACCATTAGGTCTCGGTTGTTACCTTACGTTTATGGATTATAGTTTAATGTGTTTATCTGGTACTGGCCCCGACTCAGTACATGCTATCATGACAGACAGCCATCTCAACACTAGAGTCTAATTAGAACTGAAAACAGTCAGTCTGCTCTTGTGTCAGTCTTCTCTCCTCCACCTGGCATGCGTCTTTTTTTCCCCCCCGGAAAATCACAAAATCGTAGCGCGCTTGATGTGTGTAGTCAGGCGAGTCAAAATTTACCTCCGAATGTTTCGTATTTCACATCGTATATATTAGCGTTGTTCCCGGTGTGTAAGGACCTTTGCTCACACTCTAGACTAAGAAAACATGAAAACCCTCTAACTTTGAACCTTTTTCTAATATCATCACTTATCACTCATCAAAAAGTCATGATTTACCGTATTTTTTAGACAATAAGGCGCACTTAAAATCCTTAAATTTTCTCAAAAATCAACACTGCACCTTTTAATCCAGCGCACCTTATGCTTGATTACTTGTTGTGCTTACTGACCGATTTTATGTGGTACAGTGCGCTCAAATATCTGTTGAAATGTCTAAGTGCAACTTTGGTAAGCAACAAAGCCACCCCACTTAATGGATATTCAGAGCGTTACGGTACGCAACGTCACTACCTGATTGGCCCCGTAACAGGACCCCTGAGGAGTCTACAAGACTGCCTGATTGTAATGTTTAAACTAGAAGTGCATTCGTGTAAGGCAGCCTAGGCCCGGAGTATGCGCTAGCAACAATAAACCAATCATTACGTAATGCGCCTTATGTGTGAACAAAGACACGTTAATTCACAGTGCGCTGTATAATCCAATGCGCCTTATCGCCTGAAAAATACGGTATGTGTTTCCTTAACAGACCGTTATACACCAGCTGTCAATAATCACAGTTTCTTTATTTTAAGGTACTGAGTTGCCAGATTTGTTCATTTATTCGGTGGAATGGCTAATATCAATCCTAAAAAGGACGTGGCCAACTTCACATTAAAGCCTGCCTTGTTTTTAAATAAAGTACTGTGATTGGTCAGTATATCTGACACCATATCTGTGCATCTATGTAGCAGATAGATTATGACTTCAACAGTCCAACAAGCTCACACTCAAGTATACGTGCAGTTAAGCCATCGAGGCTTTAGCTTGAGTGCACACTCGCCACATTTAACCTCACAGATAGAAAAGTAATGGAGGCCAATTCGTTGGTCTAAAATGACATAGCTTGCTTCTTCATTCTCCCAGACCATGACGGCAACGATCGACACTTATTTTCCATCATCCAAGGCTTGTAAGACCCTTGGAGATAATGGTGAATGTCAGAGATCAGGAATGAAGGAGCTTCGTGCCATCGGGAGAGAAACTGTAGCAGAACCATTAGATTAAGACAAGGATCTCATTGATGGCTTCATTCATCTCTTTCTTTCACTCAAGGAGGGGGTAAGTGGAGACAGTCAGAAGCAGATGGTACGGTCTCCCCCGACAAGTGCGGCTGCTCTCTGGCTATTTTCTGCTCCACGCCAACCCCACGCAGAGGCTCAGCTTGAGAGGAGTTAACCGAGAATTGTTCATTCTGGAGCGCAGTGGCGATGTGATCTTACCGAGAAAGAAATTAGATTCGCTTACTAGGGGACTTCAGGAGGCAAAGATGACAATATTAGCCTGCAATGTTCATGGAATAACGAGTAAAAACAATTATAGAGCCATGAGCAACCCAGTTTCTACTTTGCAATATTTCATCGAGCGTGCTTAACAGTGGAAGGGTTATGAAGAGGTTTGATTTAAGGCGCCATATGGTGTACGATTAAAATGCAGTTTTTATAAAGAGATTTAATGACCGTACATAAATATTTCATAGCAACAGCACTCTGCAACCACTTGTATTTGTAGCAGGTTAGTGTTTTGGAAGCTAAGGAAGTAGCCGGGAGGATGGCCCGGTCCTCACTCTTTGATGGTAATCCTACCTGACATGTAGGAATAGATACGTGTGAGTCATCTCAATGCTGGAATAGCAATACTTCTGTGTATCCGCAATGAAATCATCCAAAGTTAATCCCGACACAGCTGCCTAACAGCCTCGGTGTGAAAAAAAAAAAAAATACGCCGAGTCATTCACGGTGACAGACTTATCCTGGAGGCAGAGAGAGCAGTAATTAAATGTACATGCTAATGTAAGCACACAAGTTTGCTGCTTCATATCAGCCGTGCACGTTTGGTTCTTTTCCATTTGGTAAAAATGCATATGGCAGTTAATTAACAATAAGAGTGGTTTGATGCATGAGAGTTTAGATTATGAGAGCAGCTGTGCGTTTTTTTCTTAATGCTTATCTCAGGCTGAATATTTAATTGCTTCACTGCCTCAACATAGCAAAGTGTCGTGTATTCCTACTGAGTCTGGAGGTGCTGTATGTAGCGGGAACATATACAAAACCCAATTCCATTGAAGTTGGGAAATTGTTGCGATGAACTGTATTTACTGACAGTGGTTTTCTGAAGTGTTCCTGAGCCCATGTGGTGATATCCTTTACACATTGATGTCGGTTTTTGATACAGTGCAGTGATTTCTCCAGATTCTCCGAACCTTTTGATGATATTATGGACCGTAGATGTTGAAATCCCTAAATTCCTCGCAATTGTATTTTGAGAAACGTTGTTCTTAAACTGTTCGACTATTTGCTCACGCAGTTGTTCACAAAGTGTTGAACCTCGCCCCATCCTTGCTTGTGAATGACTGAGAATTTTTTGAGAAGCTGCTTTTATACCCAATCATGTCACCCACCTGTTCCCAATGAGCCTGCTCACCTGTGGGATGTTACAAATAGGTATTTGATGAGCATTCCTCAAATTTCTCAGTATTTTTTGCCACCTTTACCAACTTCTTTGTCACGTGTTGCTGCCATCAAACATGAGTTTGAACATTAAATATCTTGTCTTTGTAGTGTATTCAATTGAACATGAATTGAAATTGATTTGCAAATCATTGTATTCTGTTTTTATTTACGTTTATCACAATTTCCCAACTTCAATGGAATTGGGTTTTGTAATTGAGCAGTGCATGGATGTATTTTTGGCAAATGACGCTTTCAGAAGCTTTTCATTATGCATAGAAAAGAGAAAATGCTTATTTGTTTTATTAAAGATGAGAGATTAGAGGTTTTTCTTTTTTGTTTCAGGGGTATGGCCTTCGTACACTAATTTGGTGCAACAAAAGACCACGAATCGGCTAATTATGTACTCACATTCACACTCCCCAGGCTATGCCCTCCGCGGCAATTTGAGGTTTCGGTATCCTGCCAAAGGATATTTCCACACGGAGAACGTGGGAACTGGGGATTGATTTGCACATCCTCCAATTGGAGGGCAACCCACTCAACCTCAGAGCCCCATGGTAGATAATTGGGATCATGCTGTTGCCAATGCTGGACTTGTAATGTGCTGTAGTGCTTTAGATGGAATTTTAGTTTTGGAAAAATGAACAACTTAAGCAAAGATATCATCAGTAGCTCAAGAGAAAGTAAGTGAATGTCAGTATTTTTGTTATGTCATGGGTCTTTGGCAGGGTGACAGCTCACTCAAGCTGTAGGTGCTATTTTTTTTTTCTTTTTTTCTTTCTTTTTTTCCTCCAACCAATTCAATCAATTGATGAGAATAAGTGGTATAACCATAACATAAGCAAACAATGAGTAATACCTACAATAATAGTATTAATACAGATGCAAGCAGCAAGAAACTGACCTGTGCACGCACCTTTGTGCACTTTAGGGTCATGTTGCAGTTGCAGGATGTGCGTGTTCTGCAGCCATGATTTAAGTGGTGCATCTACCAGCAAGCTCAGTACAGTATATACAGTACATATAACTGAGTTGTCTCGATGGGTCAACAAGGTCCTCACAGCTGTTGAGTGCCTGAGTCATGACTTAATCAAGCAAGTCAGATAAGCCGTCTACTGACTAGAGAATGAACCTCCTAAAACTGTGTATCATTTGTTTATTCGATTTTCAAAATAAAACCAAAAATGAAAGAAAAAAAACGAGAAAACGAATTGTTTTCTAAATTTTTGTCTCTAAAATGAAAATGAAAAAAGGGATAACGGCTCATTCATTCGTGGGAGGCGGCCCCCAGCTGTGTGTCTGATATGTGTCCTTTTCTCCTCAGGTTGTTTTGGGCACAGAACCTTCTGACAGACATTTCAGAGCACCTTGGCACTCCTGTTGCGTGGTGGGAATCTCTGCATGAGTTTTGCCATCCTAAAAAAAGTGCTATATGAGCTCTGATTAAGTCTTGGGTCCAGCCATAACGCCAAAGCCTGTTTCCCGTTCATTTCCGAGTCACGAAACTTTCTACAGAAGAAAAAGTCCAAACCAGATAAAACTGTTGTTATCCATTTGTCCCATTTTCATTTGAGCTGAAGATAGCAGAAATCGGAAAATAAGTCATTATCTATCTATAAATTCATTTTCTTGTTTTTCCTTTTTTTTTTTCTTTTTTTCGAATGAACGAATGAGACACGTATTGTTCACGTCTGGGTAATGAAACTATCTCCAGACGAACCTGTCTAAATCAGATAAGATTGTCGTATCCATTTATCTCATTTTTCTTTGAGCTGTTGAAAACGGAAATCAGAAAATAAGCCGTTATCTGTTTTTTTCATTTTACAGACAAATATTTAGAAAACAATTTGCTTTCTTGTTTTTTTTTTTTTCCATTTTGGTTTTATTTTGAAAATCGAATGAATGATACATGGATTCTTGGTCTGTGTATTATCTGTCCATTCAATTATTCCTTTCAATCTAGCAAACGAAAAATGAAAAAAGAGTAAATATTTTGTTTATTTGTTTTTCTATATAACCAAAAAGATAAAAGTCTAGTGTTTGTTTTTGTATTTTCAGTTCAAAACAGAATATAAAATAGAGATGGAATTGAAAACAAAATAACAAATCTACTTTTGTTTTCGGGTTATTGATGTCCCCATTTCCTACGGTGCCTTTCTACTGTTCGCACATGTGCATTACGCAGCAAAGTAGCCAACAACATGGACCAAAAACTCCAGGCCAGAGCGGTAGAGAAAGGCTAACCTGCTGCCATGGAGATGGACGCATCCTATGTATTAGTCAAAGCCGCCAGGAAGGTCACACTGAAGGAGGAAGATATTACTGTAGAAAAAATTACAACTAGAGCTCTGTTACAATGTAAGATTTTGGCGCTCGAACCGCTCTGTCGCATCTTTCGCCATGGTAACTGTCGCTGAGGATCATGGGAAGGCCAATGTAGCCTCCATGCACGTATGCTCAAAACAGGCGCACTCCAAATCAATAATTGTAAATAAGATTTATTATTTTGTTTTCATTTTCATCTCTATTATATATTCTGTTTTGAGCTGAAACTACAAAAACAAAGCACAATTTTTTTTATTTTTCAGTTATACAGAAAAAAAAAAAACGTTTACTATATTGAATGGAATAATTGACTGGACGGATAATACATAAACCATTCTTTTACTGCCTCTGATGGTGGGATTACAATCGCAATTATGCAAGGGAGTTGAACTGACGATGCTCCCTTGTCACCCATCACTCATTCCCCATGACCCGCACTTTGAGTCGACTCCACTGAGCTCAAACAGAGTGTCATAAATCCGTGACAAATGCAACGCCCCGAGGTTTGACTCTGATCGAGAAGTTTTCAAACGTAAAGATCAATCGATGCCCCTCCAATCTCAGGTGGGTTGTTTATTTGAGACAGCTGTCACTCCGTCTGTCACTTTTATTGTCAGAGAGATGAAGCTCTTCAACTCCAGCGATGTAGCCTTTTAACCTACAGATCTGCATCGGGCTTTATGATTAAATCACAGTTTTCCATTTAGCATCTGCCCTCCAGTCCATCTGCATGCACGCTGCTCCAGTCTCCATCTCTCTCTGTCTTAGCCCTGAGGGAAAAGCAATGCATATTGATAGCCTGTTATTTATTTAATATTCAGCATCCTCACATGTTTAGTCTCTGCACATGCCATTATATTATCACTCTGATGTACCAGCGTTTTAGTTGTGTAATAGAAAATCCCTGAAGGATACTAGAAAGCATAGCAGGATGCATTTCATTAAAATTAAAGCAAGGTAAGGTGACGAACTTGTGATTGCTATCAAATCAGGGACAGAGCGAGAAGCAGAGGAGTTTATATGCTACAGCCAGAGTTTCAAAGGTTATTCAAACAGGTGGGTGCATTGAAAAGACATATTTTCAAAGCTATTTTAAAGCGTAAATATTTCTGTGAAATATTCACCCTGTTACTTTAGGTTTGTGAATTAGGTTAGAAAAACTCATTTCCTACTATTTTTTTTCAGCCTGTCCTTGTCTGACAGGCTAGACCTTGTCTTGATATAGAGACCAAATCCTGTATGAACTGCTTTAAAATGTTCGGTCCAAATTTTCCCCTCAAAGTGGAGGTGGCAGAGTAAATACAGCAGTTTTAATGGGTAACTGATGCTGAATCATCACAGCACTTTTCATAATTAGACGCAATGATTCACCTGATAAGCAATATTTTAAGAGGAGACTCAGACATGAACCGCTTTAGCCACTTAACCTTTTCTTGTTGCTTGGAAATGGACAGCTGAGTGTGTGTAGGTGGTGGTGGGCATCAAATCATATCTATACTGTTGTTTTATAGAGTTTGAGGTCAGAGAAAATAGACTCTAAGGACAGCATCTACACTTTTTAAGAGTTTCATTTTGGGCCTTTCTTTGTTTCTTCTATACAAGTTTCATCTGCGTGTGTGGAGATTCACAAAAAAGTCAAACAAAAAAATGCTCTGCTAGCTTTTGTATGCAGTTTGTGAAGTTTTTCCAGCTATCCCTTTGTAAGACAAGTTTCATCTGCGTGTGTGGAGATTCACAAAAAAGTCAAACAAAAAATGGTCTGCTAGCTTTTGTATGCAGTTTGTGAAGTTTTTCCAGCTATCCCTTTGTAAGGCATCAGCATTTGCACTTTTTATGAGGTCCAGTTATGTAGCTTTCTTTTTCTTTCTGTGTCATTCATGAATGATTCGTTCAAAAGAACCGAGTCTTTTCAGTGAACCTACTGATCTGAATCACTTTATTTCTTCTGCACATCTTCCATCTTTCTCAGGTCCAAGGCAACCACACACTAGTGCTGTTTCGTTCATGGATGATTTGTTCCAAAGAACTGAATCTTTTAAGTGGACATACTGAACCGAATCACTTTATTTCTTCTTCACATCTTCCATCTTTCTCAAGTCTTAGGCAACGACACACTAGTGTTGTGTTGTTCTAGAATGATTCGTTCAAAAGAACTGAATCTTTTAAGTGAACGTATAAACCGAATCAGTTTATTTCTTCTGCACATCTTCCATCTTTCTCAGGTCAAAGGCAACTGCACACTAGTGTAGTGTTGTTTCTCAGTGATTCGTTCAAAAAAACTAAATCTTTTAAATAAACGTACTGAATCGAATCACTTTATTTTCTTTGCACATCTTCCATCTTTCTCAGGTCTAAGGAAACCCCACACTAGTGTTGTGTTGTTCGTGAATGATTCGTTCAAAAGAACAAAATCTTTTCAGTGAACATACTGAACCGAATCACTTTATTCCTTCTGCACATCTTTCTCAGGTCAAAGGCAACTGCACACAAGTGTTGTGTTGTTTCTGAGTGATTGGTTCAAAAGAACCGAATCCTTTAAGTGTCAAACTGAACCAAATCACCTTATTTCTTCTGCACATCTTCCATCTTTCTCAAGTCTTAGGCAACCACACACTAGTGTTGTGTTGTTCATGAAGATTTGTTCAAAAGAACCGAATCTTTTAAGTGAACGTATAAACCGAATCACTTTACTTCTTCTGCACATCTTCCATCTTTTTCAGGTCAAAGGCAACCGAACACTAGTGTTGTGTCGTTTGTGACTGATGAACCGAATCTTTTAAGTGAGCGTACTGAACGGAATCACTTTATTTCTTTTGCACATCTTCTATCTTTTTCAGGTCAAAGGCAACCCAACACTAGTGATGTGTTGTTCGTAAATAATTCATTCAAAATAACCGAATCTTTTAAGTGAGCATACTGAACTGAATCACTTCCATTTCTTCTGCACATCTTCCATCTTTCTCAGGTCAAAGGCAATAAACACACTAGTGTGGTTGTGTTGTTTGTGAATGATTTGTTCAAAAGACCCAAATCTTTTAAGTGTGTGTACTGAGCTGAATCACTTCCCTAAACCCTAAGTGATTTGTTCGTTTCTCACTTCAGTAGAGCTATCAGTAGTACCATCGGACAGTACACTTAAAACATCATGATTTATAAACAAATTCATTTCACAAACCTGTTTGTTAAAGCAACACAGCCACAACACTCACATCTCACGGTCCCAGAAGCTATGATCTGAACTGAATCTTGCACCACCCAGCAGTCGGAGTCGCTGGCTCCTCCAGCCAAGCGCTGAATGATTCGGTGAATGAATCTTTTTAGTGAACTGATTCCAGTGATTCAGTACATCTAAAAGAACTGCCATACCCATCACTACCACACACTCTGAAGTCATGCTATGCTACCTTTATGTTATACGGCATATTTATATAATCTCATCAATCTTTTTGCCCTCAGGCGTCAGTAAGTAAAGCTGTATTCCAGGTATCTGTATGTTCTTCACAGCAGCGGTCGACTACTGAGAAAAAACAAATTGACCTTTTTCAGGAGCTGTTACTCTAATGACCAATCAGATCCAAGTACTTAACGCAGCTGTGTGGTGGATAAATGATCACGTAGGCTTTCAGTGTTATTTGATCTTGATGGCCAATTATTTCGACATGAAGCATGTTTTTCCTCCTTTTTCTTTCAACCAGCGCTGGTGGCGGTTTAAAGAAGAGAGAAATACAGATTGCTGGCTGGGCACTGACTCTGAAAGTATTAGATAACCAAATCCAGTGGTCTTGTTTGTGTGGATATGGTGCTCAGCTCTCAAGCGAGTATCACTATCTGACTCTATCAGTGCGGTATTGGCCAAATAGACTGATAATGCTGTGTAAGAGGAAAGAATAACTTTCCTGTCTCTAAAACAGTCCCAGCGATAGTGTTACTGGGTTAGCACTGTGGATAAACAGATTGATTCGAGAAACCCAAGCTGTCTCTCCCTTCTTATGTGTGTCCCCAGGCCCCTACCAACTGCTGCCTGACTCATTATTTAATGAAAAGACTGTTTTCACTACACTTGCCATCTCAGTTGGTGTCTCTTCTACAAAATAGAGAGCAAAGCAGGCGATAGGCCAAGAAATTCTGGATTAAATTGAGTATGTATTTCCTTTAAAGATAACAAATGTATAGCCACCCTGATTTCTCCATATCTTTTATTGACTCTTTAACAAAAGGCCTCTGCTGGGTGGGTGTATCAGCTGGAGACTAAGGCCTTGATATATTGCTGTTTCATTTTGAAAGTTTTTCTGTAAAGACAGCGTAGTTTCAGGAAATATCTGCTTAAAACACGAAACCACTAAAAATGACTGAAAACGATGTAGTGTGTATGCCAAGCCAGTAAGTGGTGCTGTAACGCTGCCCCAGAAGCCAGAAGAAGAGTCATGAGCATGTGCAAAAGGGCGCCTTAAGAGAGTTACACTGTGTGAAGTAAATGTTTAAAACAAGTTACTGAAAGGCATCACCATGGAGATTAAACAAAAGTCATGTATGGATTTATGAAGTCCAGGACCTTTTTCAAAAAGTATCATTTACAGTCACCCAAAATACGTGAAAAGCTTTTTGTAGTACTAGCAACAAAAGTATTTTCCATGTGGACAGGGTCGAAGCCTGACTTTTGTTCTGATGACAGTCAATACGTTCACATGACACTTGAGAAAATCGGATTATTGCCTTACTCCGATTAAGACCAGACATGTGAAGTGCATGTAAACACCTTAGTCCAACTATAATCGGAGTTTGAGAACTCCGATTGGGGTCTGAGAATTTTGATTAAGACACCCAGATAATGCGATTGGAATTCGATTTTCTCTACTATGTAACCAGTGTAGTCGGAGTATGATCGAATAATGCATGTGCGCGTGCGCCACGCCCCTGTAACCCGGAACAAAGACACCAGAGAAGAAAAGTAGCGTGCACCTTATCTGCAGAAAAAGTAGCGCGTACATCATGTACGACAAAAACAACGCTGTACGATGCTCCGTCTTCTTGCTCGAAAATGCCCAGTAGCAGTTGTAGCTACTTCTGACGTCTGTCACGGACCTGCTCTTGTTGTTGACGGTTGTATGAGGTCGGAAACAGCGCTGCTAAAAAGACCCATATCGCCCCCTAGTTTTGGGAAGGAGGACACGTTCATGTCAATAATTTGATTTTCTCAGCTGCATGTATACACGGACAAGGAGCGAAGTCCGATTCAGCGAAAAAAAAAAACGAATTATAAGCTTAGTCCGATTAAGCTGTGCATGTAAACACACTGGCTGTTGCAATTTGGCTCCCCTCGTCTCTAGCTCTTGTTACCGGTGTCATGTTTATCCATTTTTACTGTCGTATTTCGCCACCTTACGAACTTTTTTACGCCTTTTGTTTTAGATTAAAAATGGCGTAAAACTTTCCCCCTAAAAAAGTTCTGTTTTTAGTTTAGAAACTTGATGCCAGTTTTGTGCCATTTAAGGATTTTGTTCACAAGAAAGTTTGAGAGTTGAGTTGGCGTTTGTGTGTGAGTCGTACTCTATTTACGTCAACATAGCACACCTTGACCTGTTCTTCTGGAGTCAAATCTGCTCTGATGAATCACTAAGACCCCTAATTTTTCACTTTGCTTGTGAGGGAACAGATTTAGCAGCATTTGAACCCCATTTGACCTCCCGACCTCAGTTTCCTCTCAACCTGAACACGCTCTTTCCGAACATATGCGGGCTGACTCAAACTTGCATGTGCTGGGACTACACACAACCACATACACACAGTACTCACAGCCACTCTCTTCCAGCCAATTTAACACACACAAAGCTGAATTAACTAGTAATCCTGTTTTCTCCCTGGGGCTGTCTTCACTTTACACTTGTCTCAGTGAATTATTGTTGGCACTGCCTTCTTCTTCTCCTTCCATGGTTCCATTTCCATCGCTGGCCCTGAAACTAAGGTTGAACATTCAGCAGCCGCTGACACATTAGCATTTTCACCTTTATTTAAAGCTTCAAAAGAAGTGTATTTACTTACCCTTCCTTTCCCGCATCCAAAATATTTCATAAATAGTTTAACGCTGCATTAAGAGAATTCCTCAGGCTTTTACATGGTGTTTTTTCATGATTTGGAACCAAAGTAAGTGCATATGGTATAGGTAAGCCATGGGGTGACAAGGTTCATCTTCTGCTCAGAGCTTTATAAGTAGTCATCCTCCATTAGTGGGTAAAAGGCCGGCTGTTTCAGCGTAGTTATTGTAGTCTTATAAACTTCTGAGCCAGTTGCACATAAAAAAGATATAAGATGAGTCCTCTCACATGCAGCTCAAGTGTCAATAATGCATGAAGGATCCAAGGACAGAAAAGCTTATTATCAATCCGTGCCACGCTCTTAGACAGAATGTCAAGTCGTCTTTCAGTTCGATGACTCTCCAGTCAATCAGCGAGCAAAGGAGCATGAGCTCATGCCCGGAGGCTGTACTGTATCCACGCATCCATGCAGCAGTCAGAACTGTACGGGCCCCGGCTTGCCTGCTGTCAACCGTAGAGTCCTTTACAACCTTACTCCCCTCTTGTGCTCGGATGTTTATCCGTCATGTTGCTGTTAATCAGAATCTCAAGCTGAGTGTGCCGTAACAACAAGCAATCTGTTGATTAAGTTGAAATTGAATGCCGCTGTAAACATCAGATTTGCATGTAAAAGCCTTGTCAAGGCATTGTGCTTAGGCTGAGCTTCTGTGCAATGAGTACTCAAAAGAAGGGGAACCTCAGGGGACCTTTGGGGGAATCAGTAGAATCCATCATAGGTTGAGAGAGATACTTAAGTATGTGAAGCACTGAGAGCTTCACTGTGAGCTCCCTGGTATGGCAGTACAATGATTTTAAAACCCTCAAAATGTACCTTTTTAGTCTTGTTTTATTTTGTTCTAAATTTTATATCATTAACTTTGTTGAAGTGTTTTTAGCATTTATCTCTTTCTAGTTTTAATGACAGAATAATCTTTTATTGAGCTATTATGGTGCTTTTATTTTAGTATCTTTTACTGATGTTTTTATTTCATTTTATTTATTATTTCTTAAATTTCATTCTATGTTACTTTGTTTTTAGATTTTAACCAAAACCTCCAGTATTTTCTTGATCTTGAATGTTAAGATGGCGTTTCATCGGTGCGCACATTCCTGTTGTGGTTAGATTATGGGGTGGGAATGAGGGGTTGGGTTGGGATCGATATTTTTTTTTTCGAACATGTGCGTGCAACACAAGAAAGTAAACTGAAAACAAACAAACAGAACCAATAAAAATATTCAAAACAACAATAACAATAATCAAAGCAAAAAAAATATTTTTTTTTAAAAAATACTAACAATAATAATACGAACCCAACATGTCGGAAAAGGAGTAGGATGAAGCATTATGCTTTTTTTTCAATATATTTACATTATATTGATAAAAAATAAAACATAAATAGAGTAAACATAAATAATTTATGAAAACACCCGATGGTAAGAGCCCTTCTTCCTCCCTGTACCTGGTGAGACTCGTGTGTTTGTACCACTTTTGACACTTGGTCATGCTTGGACATTTCTTGAACTCCACACCTTATCTGTTCCACAACCTTACTTCACAAACAGAAAAACAAAAACATTTTATTGTATGTACCCGCTGATGTTTTGAGTTTAAGTCCCCTCTCAGATGGTAACCCCCAGCTCTGTTAAAAACAATTTTTGGTTGGTTGGTTGGTTGGTTGGTTGGTTGGTTGGTTGGTTGGTTTTGGGTTGAAGCCCTGGTGGATCATCGTTGAAGTTAAACCCAGTGATTCTTTAAGTTTAAGTCCCCTCTCAGATGATAACCCCCAGCTCTGTTAAAAAGCATTTTTTGGATATTTACAGGCAATACATTATTTATTGCTTTGTACATGATAGATAGATAGATAGATAGATAGATAGATAGATAGATAGATAGATAGATAGATAGACAGACAGACAGACAGACAGACAGACAGACAGGTTTTGGGTTGAAGCCCTGGTGGATGACAGCAGACGTTAAACCCACTCCTGCCGTCTTCCTGTAACTCCTGCTGGGAGTGTTTCTTGTTGGCAGACCCTTGGCTACAACATCTCTTATAATCCTTTACTTGAAAACGTTTACCTCTGAAGAATCATAACTTTCATATATGGTCTTCTAAGTGGCTAATTAACTATGTCACATCCATTGATCGTTAACCCTCCATCTCTGCAGACATCAAATCGAGCACAGTCTTGCTGCTGTGGGACGCTTGTAAAAAGTAATTAGAGTGAACACGGATCCCATTTGCGGCGGCAAGTGTTGAAAATTTTGCACGACTGATCGATTTTTCCGCCCTGTTGGAAATATTTGCCAAACTCGCTGAGCTTTGTTTCGAGGTAACGACACGGCTGTCACACCGGAGCAAACCGTTGAAGCAACTTTTTTGTCGGTGGAGCATTTGCAATGACGTTTAAAAACACTTTAAAGAAGATTTAAATTCAAATCATTGATGATTAAAGAGGCTTTTCATGTTTGCTCATCGTCTGAGGACACATGCTGGAATACGCATGTTTTTTCTTCCCCCTTCAGCAGGCTGAGTTCAATGAGAAATATTCATGACTGCTGACAAGTCCTTGTGTGTGGGCTCTGCTTCTCACAGTTTTCACCATGGAAACCGCAGATGGATGAATCAGGATAACAATGGATGATATTACAATCCAAATGGTCCTTGTTGAAAATAAAGAAGCATGATGATGATGTGCTCTTCTGCGCGATGACAATCTCCACTCCTGCAACACCCAAATAAAACACTTGACTCAGTGCTCTGCTTAAATCCTGTAGCCTGAATTTGAATATTCCCCCGGCTCTCTGAGTGGTCTATTCCTGCTGCTGCAAGAGTAGCTGCAGCACAGGCAGTTAATATTTCAAGACAGAAGTTTGAGATTAAAATGTCACCAGGTCAGACCTGGTTTGGAAAATCCAGCTGAGGGTTAGTAAAGGAGACACACTCTGCCTTTGCTTGGCATTTACTGTCAAGATAGTAAAATAACGTAGCAGTACAGTAGGTAGATTCAAATCCAAATATGAGTCTGTCTCGTTGTAACACTCCGCTCCCACACAACTGCTCCCACCAGGTTATTTCTGTCGCTTTGAAAACTGGAAAATCCTTCGAGAATCGTAGATGTGTGTGATTTGGTTAGGATCAGGAACAGTAGGAGCTTCTCATCTGTATAGAAAAGGGTTTTACAATGAAAGATTAAGGGGGAGACAGACACATTTCACAGTCATCTTTATGCTGAAATAATGTGTAATGCTGAGAGACACGTCAGCCTATTGTTCAGCCCATTTTCACTCTAATTACAGTGTAGTTATGGACTGTATGCAGGATGTAAAGTAAGTGCGTCTTTGTTCAAAGCATCACAAGATTTTATCTGTAAAGTTTTATCTAGACTAAACTTGTTGCTGCTGTAGTCTTGCATTGAAATAGGACCAATCAAAATGGTTCTGAGGTGTCTGCATGGCCCGAAGCTCCTAAAACTGCCTGGATAGGAGAGGATTTGAGGGAGAGAAGGAAAACCAGAGGAGCAACATGGGAAACATGATATTAGTTAACAGAATAACAGATACCAGTAAGCGTGTTAAATATGTTTAAAAAGATGAACTTTTAACATTGCAAATAATACACCAGTGTCAAATGCTCAGAGAGGTATGGTGTTATATTGCAGTACGCTATGTTACCCAGAAGATGGCGTTTGAACAGAGCAGAGCAGGTAGAGCTATTCATCCACATAAAATCTGCATGTTGCTGAGAAGTTTTGGTAACACTTAACGCCTATCTCTATAACGCATTATATACGTATAAAGCTTTATAATCACGTTATGGCACTGTATAACTATAGTTATAAACACTTATAAATAACCATAATGCTTTATAACAATAATCATAACACATTATAAAGCATTATATCATGACTTACAAGGTTAGGTATTATAATGTGTTATAAATGTTAACAACTCACAGACAATGCCCACATAGATAATGAATTATACGTATATTTATGATGTGTTATAATTTGCTTATAAACTTATATAACTATCATTATAAACACTTATTAATTATCATAAGGCTTTATAACAATAATCATAACATATAATACCTGACCTTGTAAGTCATGATAAAATGCTTTATAATGTGTAATGATTATTGCTATAAAGCATTATGATCTTTTATAAGTGTTTATAACTATAGTTATACAGCTGTATCGTGTTTATAACGCATTATACATACACATATATATATATACTGTATATATAATATGTTATAGCGATAGGCGTCAAGTAAAGTGTTACCAAATCTTGTCACTGTCCAGCAACATGCAGATTTTATGCGGATGTGTGGCTCTACCTGCTCCTCTCTCTTCAAACGCCATCTTCTGGGTAACATAGTGTACTGCGACGTAACACAATGTTAAAAGTGCGTCATATTTAACACATTTCTTACACTTCCTGGCAACTGTTTTTGAATTTGCATTTTTAGGGCCATGCAGACACATCAGAATCACTTTGATTGGTCCTTTTTATATGCAAGATCAGAGAAGCAACAAGTATATTCATAATACGTTATAGCGATAGGCATCAAGTAAAGTGTTACCCAAGTCTTCATACAGGGACATGCATTTTCTTGCAGAAGCCAAAGTAAGTCCTGTAGGTCGTCATTTAAAATGCATGGTCTTCAGTGCAGAACCCATGTCCAATTACGTTCCTGCTTCCTACAAAGGGCACAAAAAAATGAGGCATAGGCTGCAAAAGAGCTGAAGAGAGTGTCTTGGTTATTCATGGGTGTCAAAGTTCAAAGGCAAAAAGAGGCGCGGTTGAGGTGCATGACTCAACAGGCAGTATCACAAGGTCTTTACTTCCAAAGAGTTCAAAGATACAGAGCGAGCAAAGTTTCAGGGGTCAGGATGAGTCAGAATCCGAAAAGTTCAGGCTGGGTCCAAAAAAAATCCAAGCTGCTCCGAAAAAAGGAAATAGAGGCTTATAACGCTCCCCGCTCCGTTGTGTCTCTTCTGCATGCAAAACATGCAAACTGCAGTTTAAGATTTCTGTATTTTGATGTGCAGAATGATGTTATACCCACCACAGCAATCCCACACTGGGCTGCAAAGTTAAGATCAAAAGAACTGTTCAGAAATGTGAGTACAGCATACAAGCAAACTTGGTTAAAATAATCAAACTAGTCTCTGGAGATTTCAAGTAGTTCTTTGAGAGAGTTGTAATTCTGCATATCTGTAAAATCACCATTGAGGGTAAAGGGTAGTGAAAACCAACACCAAACTCTGGCCTGTTTCTTTGCAGGAAGCTGAACTCGGTGTATAAAGTTAGATCACCCAGTAGAACAATGACCTTCGGAAACACGGTTCACTGACTGCAGAGTCATGTTTCTGCAATCTCCATGTCAACCCATTTCCCTGACCTAAACCTCATGTGAGGGCCAGGAACTCGGAGGATGCAGAGAGATGCTGTGTGGAGCTTCGGCTTTGTGATCTCTAACCTTGTCAAATTTGATAAGTATTTTGTTTTTCCCTCCACACAAAAACCCTTATTTTTTCCTTCATACCAGGGCGTACACTGAATGAGCTCAAGAAGCTTTTTGTTACGATGGAAAGCTCGCACATCGCACTAATAAATCCATTCATGAAAATAATAGCAGTGCACACTCATCGGCTAATTTTCCCTTGATGAAGCAGAATTAATGACAAGTTGTGAATGTGTTATTAATAGTGAAAAACCTGAAGAACATGTGCTTGAAAGAGGACACCAGGACCCACAAAGTGTTGTCAAAAACCATGCAATCTTTTCCTGTAATTGCTTGAATCGGCCGCGGGGCACAGCGTTAATTTTGTTCAATGTTCCTAGAATTTGGCCTTCCTCTTAATATAATTCCCCCGAATTAGCTTTCAGCTGGTGTCAGACTTGAAGCATGAGAAACCAACCACCACCACAACCAGTCAAGATTCATTTACCAAGAATCAGAGGGAAATAAAAATCCTGGGACCGCTTTTCCAAAAAGTGTGAGAACAGCTTTTAAAACTGTATTTTTAAAATATCTTTTTGAGGAGGTGGGAAATGTTTAAAAAAAAAATCCGAAGATTAAAGGCCGGGGTGTGTTTTTTAAACGTTTCCTCCTGCGGCTCGCAGCTGTTGGATTGTGTAATCTCTCCAAACCGCGGTTGTGTTGTCTGAAAAAACAGAGTTGAAAACACACCTTAACAGGCTCTGGAAGTGTACAGATAAAAAAGAACTAGTTTTGATAGTAAAAGTGGACTCTTTTTGTAAGCGGCCTGTAATACCTTCAGATAACAAGTTTTTATGTGGCTCAAATAACATTTTTTATGTTTATTATCCTGTTTTTTTTTTCACAAGAAGATGCTGTAACGGAGAATAAATTTTGGTTTATTATTCAGGCACTAAATCTGATGAGCTGTAGCATACCCAGTTTCTACTGGTAGTTTCCCATTAAAGGGGCAGAGCTGACCAGCATCCATTGTGGTCAGTACACTCACCAGTGACATCGAACTCCTACAGCCTCACTTGAAAAATACTGAAACAGCCCTTTAATATTGATGGGCACTTTACATTGCAGCCTCTGCTAACTGTGTGTCCCTCATACTAATTCTATTTACCAAGTGTTGGCAAGGTTAAACCCTTAACCTCTTGATTGAGAGACGGCCAGCTCTACCTGAGCCACCTCTAAAGAAGTATCTGCTGCTGGGATGCAAATATGTTCCCTGTTATAATACATAGATGATAGATAATAATAGATAGATAATAAAACAATTGAAAATAAATAACTAAAATATATCAATGCCACGAGCACGCATGCATCCCCATCATAGATGCAGGATTTTTAAAGTCTGAGATGTCCTCGTCTTTTGATCAGAGGAGGCAGCATACATGATTTTCAGAAATAATGAAAAAATTTTTAATCTAACAGGGTGCAGGAAAGTTTCTGGATTCCTCTAGGTTCTTTAAAAAAACCCTCTGGATGATGTTTATAGATTGCTTCCTCCATTTATGTTGCAGCTTAACCTGCATTTGTGGAAGCAGAGACGACCTGTGGTTTTTGGAAACTAATTTAAAATTAATTTAGGGTCAAACACACCGTAACACCGAGTTAGACACCCCCTCGAGAGATGAATGTTGCCGACCTGCTTGCTTCTCTATTTACACCAACTTTAGTAACCACTGCAGAAAGCGATACAGAGAGCCACACGCTCAACCAAAACGCCACTCTATAGCCACAAATAACGTTCAGAACAGCACCTGACTTCATCAACAGTACATATGGGGTCCCCACTGAGCAATAGACGGCTATTCGACGGCTATTTTTTTAGACGTAATTTCAACCGTCTAGATTCTGTATATTTTTAGACAGAATCTAGACGTTGCACTTTAACCCATGATTTGATAACTATTTATTTCAAAAAGCAACTGTGAGTTGCATTACTATTCTCCAAGTACTTTACCAAAATAATTATGATAGCCATTGAGCAATATACATATAGTATAGATATAGCCCACATTTAGTTTCAGTCTAAACTTGGTCTAAATTTAGACGTCCAAAATACTCTCATTTTTAGACCTGTGGTAGCCTGACTTTGGACCAGTCATCAAGGCTACATTTAGACATCTATTAGACCTCCTTTAGACCAAAAAATGCTCAGTGGGTCCCAGCCACAGCACTAGCCACCAAACATCTTTTTAACTTTGCCTAATTTCTTTAGCAAAGACACTAAACACAACTCACCTACTCTCTTCCAGCAGCTGCTTGTTTGTACAGAGACCTCCAGGCAAGTCCATCCACTGCATTGGGATGACGCAGCTCAAGGAAGAACATTTATGATCATTTCTTCATGGAAATGCAATCAGACAGCGACACTAAGGTAGAAGAACTACCACGTCTGCAGTGCAAAATGATTAATATGATGATTATGACTTCAAGGAAAAGATAAAGAAATGATCATAAATGTTCTTCCTTGAGCTGCGTCACCCCGCTGCAGTCGATGGACTCGCCCGGACGTCTCCGTACAAACAAGCAGCTGCTGGAAGAGAGACGGTGTGTTTAGTCTCTTTGCGAAAGAAATTAGGCAAAGTTAAGAAGGTTTTTGGTGGCTAGTACTCTGGCTGGGACCCTATATGTACTGTTGATGAAGTTAGGTGCTGTTCTAAACATTATTTGTGGCTATAGAGTGGCGTTTTGGTTGAGAATGTGGCTCTTTCTATTGCTATCGTGCGGTCGTTACTAAAGTTGGTAGAACTAGAGAAGCAAGCGGTCGGCAACATTTATCTCTCGAGGGGGTGTCTAACTTGGTGTTACGGTGTGTTTGACCCTAAATTAATTTTATGCCGGAATATCCCTTTAAGGCAAAGCAGTGATTTCCACTACAGAGTCATGTCACCTTAGGGTGACAAATATCTAAAATTTCCGTAATCTTTTAATGATATTTCTTACTGTGGACAACTTCCTTCCTGCATTGTCTCAGCAGAGCATCCTCTAAGCATTGCTCAATGCCTCAATAATAACGGGTCTGGATCTTGAGTGTTGGACAGAAATCCCTTGTTGCTGCTGCTGTCTGTCTAGAGGTGCTAACAGGAGAAGGGGCACACCTACTTGTTGTGCACCTCCCCCATCTTCAATAGAACCAGGACAAAAGATTTAAGCAGCTAGCGCTATCTTCTCACCCTCTTGGACCACATATTCCGTCAGGGCCACATGCTGGTCCTTTCCATAACATGACCCACCGCGCTACTGCTGCATAATACATCACCTCCTTGACACCCCAAAAAAAAAAAACGAGAAAGACACCTTTGCAGCTTACATCTTCCCACTCGTGAAAGACGGGTCTTTGAAGCTCCACTGCGTGTTAACTCCGCAGAGTGTCAGGAGCGTCGCGACCTGACATTGCCTGTGAAATAAATAAAGAAAGGAGGAACTTTGAATGCGCAGCGGCACTTTGAGAGCCAGACTGTCTGTATAAAGATAAATTTGCCGCTGGGTTGGAGGGAGAAAGAAAAAGACTGAGTTTATCTTGAACACAGTGTTGTAGCCTATGACGAGTAAATAATGATGCGTTGTTATCAGGAGCAGGCCAAAGAAGGCTCTTGTTTTCTCCCAACCTGACAATTTAGTGTCCTTGTCATGTGCCACAAAGAGTGGAATTACAAAACCAGACCTGCTCTCATCTCCTCCAGCAAACCGGATGCCCATCCCACAGTATAAAATAGACACGAGGAAAGCATAAAAGCAGATTTACTTCCTTTTTTACACACTTTAAAATCACTGTCCTTACTTAACCGTCATGCAACAAACCAATATGTGTTAATTTGATGTTATGACAAGTGATAAATGGAGTGCCGCATGATTAGGATTATGATTGTATTTTAACGTCATGATTCCTAAATCTCCCAGCAAGACTGCCAAGCTAACTGTTTCTGTCATCTGTCACAGCCGGCTAAATGTTTGACTAAAGTTGCCTCAGCAATTAGCGGCTCATTTGACAGAAACTTTAAATCAAATGTGCTATTGATTCCGGCTCAGTCTGGAATTAGGGGCAGCATTAAACAAGCACCGTTTTCCTCCTGAGCCGTGGACTTTGGATTGCAATCAGACTTTTTCTTTTTTTTTGTTAAGGGAAAAAAACATTAAAAAAAAAAAAAAAAAACTATCGGGAGCATTTCAGCATGTGTGCCGTTATGATCAATAATTAAATTGCTATTTTTGCGTCTCGCAATTAAGGTTGAAATGCCGGGGAACATGCAATTAAACTGTGATTGAATCTTGTCCAATATTCGGCAGTAAAAGCTCTCACTAAATGACAGAACAAAGGGAAAAAAGAGACTGCTGCACAAAACGCTGTCATTAAGCCTTCTGAGTGTCTGCTCCCTATTGTGACAGATTAATACCGTTCTCCAGAAAGAAGGCAGCAAATTGGAACTTCAAACAGAAAAAAAAAAGAAGTGGTGGAGCAAAGTTTTCTATTTCTATAAATAAAAGCTTGGATTAGTGTGCCGTGTGCTGCTGTCTTAAGGTGTATTTACGACGTCAAATCATGTTTTCAGTAATAAAGAAAGTAAGTGAATACTCTGCTCTTTGTCATCGTTTACCACAAAGTCGACTCTGCTCTAATTTGATTGGTCAACCTTGTGATTTTCTGGATGACATCTTATTTCATTTCCACTCCATAGTTCACCTCCACGCAATTTGTGCTCTGCCAGTCATTAGAAGTGCAGCCGCCTCGCTCTCTCTCTGTCCAGAATGACATGACAACTAACAGCTACATAAAGTCTGGATTAATGGACGCTTTGTTCACACTCAGCAGATCAGCACTCAACGTTTCTGTGCTTGCTGTTGACATTCTTTAACGCCTCCGCAGAAGTATGCTTATGTTGAATGTAATTTTACGAAAATTATATTTCTTATGATTTGAAAGGAATAGGGAATAGAGTTGAGTACCCAAAAAACAAACGGAAATTTAACATATATTAGACATTAGACTCATTGATAAAAGGGTCTCTGCAGGCCCGTGATATGCATGTGACACCCAGAGTATTTCATAACATGAGAACAGACAATACAGTAATTTACACTTAAAATATCTCCATAAATATTCATTTTATTAGAAAACAGACAAACTTCATAAAAGAGCTTCTGTAAACTGATAATGTGCAGTAAATAGATATATTGCAATGATGACATGTGAAACCCAGAGTATTTTTTGCCATGGAAACAGAAAATACAGTAATTTACACTTAAAATACCTCCATAAATATTCATTAGATTAGAAAACACACAGACTTAAAAAAGGGCTTCTGTAAATCCATATAATGCAGTAAATAGTTATATTGCATCAATGCAATGCTTTACAACTTGGTCTCAGTCCAACAGAACTACTTTACAACCCATAGAGTCACTTAACAAACAGACACTGAAAGTACTGGATCAAAAACCCAACAGATATCATTACTGCCACATAGTACAAAATTACAACTAATTTAGTTTTGAAAGTTTTAAATGTTTTATGGATCTATGTCTTATTTTCAAAGTGATAGATGGGCTGGCTCCTCCACCACTTAAAGAGTTCATGCAGAGAACTAGCAGTGGTGGAAGAAACACCAGAGCAACCACCAGAGGAGACGTCCTGGTACCGTTTAGGAAAAGTGTTTTCGGTAAATCTGTCTTCTCTGTGAGAGCCTCCAATCACTGGAACAGTCTTCCCAGCGAAGTCCGGGTCATCGCACATTACCATACATTTAAATCCAATATCAAGAGGTGGCTTAAGGCCAATCAAACTTGCACTCACGAGTAACTGCCACTGCCATTTTCTATATTCTATTTAACCACTTTGTATTTCCTTTGTATCTCTATTTGTAGTAAGTGGATTGCACTGTATTTTATAATGTATGGATTTTGTATGGATGGTCACACCATTTTTAATAACCTGCCCAGGGGCTACAGACGAAAACTAGCTCCGGCTAACTCTGGCGCATTTACATGCCTTTTGATTTTATTAATTGTCATGTTTATCAATGTGCACTGTCCCTGATAGATAAATAAATAAATGGGATGAGAAACAGGGAAATAGGAAATACAGTAATTTACACTTAAATTAACACAAACAATACATATAATCAGGAAAAATGACTAAATTCATAAAAGGGCCTCTTCAAACTCACAATATGCCGTAAATAAATATTCTGTGTCAATGACATTAGAAACCTTGACCCCCCCCCCCATAGGGAACAGAAAAAAACAGTAATTTACACTTAAAATATCTTCATAAATATTCTTTTGATTAGAAAACAGACAAACTTTATAAAGAGGTTCTGTAAACTGATAATGTGCAATAAATAGTTATATTGCATCAATGAGATGAGAAACAGGGAAATGGGAAATACAGTAATTTACACTTAAATTAACACAAACAATACATTTAATCAGGGAAAATGACTAATTTCATAAACGGGCCCCTTCAAACTTATAATATGCCGTAAATAAATATACTGTGTCAATGACATTAGAAACCTTGATTTATATTTATTTTTTCCCATGAGAAACAGGAATACAGTAATTTACACTTAAATTAACTAGGGATGGACCGAATGGGAAAATCTTGGCCGAAACCGAATACCGAATATAAGAAACACTTGGCCGAATAACCCTAACCGAATAGCCGAATATGATTAATAAATATGTATATAAACTATGAATTTTTATCACCAAGCAACTTTTGTACAATTGCTGTCATTGCCGTACATTTGTTTTAAAGCTACCTGATTATGGCAAAACCTGGCAAACTTAAATATTAATCACTTTATGTTTGAACCATGAAACATTTATTCAGCTGACATGACATAACAATGCTATAACAATAACATTCAATAAAATAAAATTAAGTAAATAACATCTTTGCAATAACAATACAAAAAAGTGCAATTTTCCCTGTAGGATAGCCTAAAGTAAATAAAATAAATAAAATAAAATGCACATATGCAAAATAAATAAAATAAATGCAGGTACGTGCATGCATATACATGATTGTGCAACAGTAAACACAAATCCAGGCCTGAGGACTTCAACAATAAATGCACTTACATGCATGCATATACGATTGTGCAAACTTTTGTGCAGTGAGTTTCTTAAAGTCGTCATGTTTGTCCTTATGTTTAGCGCTCAAGTGGTTGATTAGCCCCGATGTACTGAAAGTTTTTGCCGTCACACCACCTCGAGACACTTCAGCAGAGCAGAGTTTATAAATTGCCATCAGACCATCTTTCTCTGATATGTCGAAATATTTCCAAACCGCAGACATGCCGGTTGAACGGCTTCGAGCCAAGACAGCTGCACGTATCGTGTGCGTCGTATCAGCACGGGAACGCCTTGTCGCGTTCCGATTACGTCATCAACATGCTACTAAAACAGGTAAAACAGCGCCGTCTGCGTTTTCCATTTTTGAGAGTTCATACTAGACCAATGTTTATCCACACTATTCGGTGATTTTTTTCGGCCATAACATCTATTCGGCCGAAAACCGAAAATTCATTTTTGATGCTTTTCGGCCGAATATTTTCGGCGCCGAATATTCGGACCCATCCCTAAAATTAACACAAATAATACATATAACCAGGAAAAATGACTATTTCATAAATCGGCCTCTTTAAACTCATAATATGTTGTACATGAATATATTGCATCAATGATATTAGAAACCTCTTTTTTTCCCATGGGAAACTGGAATACAGTAATTTACACTTAAATTAACACAAACACTACATTTAATCAGGAAAAATGACTAACTTCTTAAAACAGCCTCTTTAAACTTATAATATGCCGTAAATGAAATATACAGTGTCAATGACATTAGAAACCTTGATTATTTTTTTCACGGGAAACTGGAATACAGTAATTTACACTTAAATTAACACAAACACTACATTTAATCAGGAAAAATGACTAATTTCATAAACGGGCCTCTTCAAACTTATAATATGCCGTGAATAGATATACTGTGTCAATGACATTAGAACCTTGACTTTCTTATTCATGAGAAACAGGAAATACAGTAAATTACACTTAAATTAACACAAATAATACATTTAATCGGGAAAATTGACTAATTTCATAAAAGGGCCTCTTTAAACCTATAATATGCTGTAAATAAATATATTTATTTACAGTGTCCATGACATTAGAAAACTTGATTATTTTTTTTTACTATGTGAAATAGGAAATACAGTAATTTACCCTAAAAACAAACAAATAGTTACTCCTGAGAGCAGGAGCGAGTCAGTAGCTGAACTTGTCCTTGGCTTCTAACACTCAGTTAAGTCTCTCTCAGGATAAGATGGTTCAATGATCGCAGCAGATTTTGTGATAACACACTTAGGAACCTCACATTTCACCATTTGTGACCCAGGTGTAGCTGGAGAGAGTTTTTGGTACGACTTTTTTATACCCAGCTGCAGTTTGACTCCAACAAATTCTTCTTTTAGATCATGTCCACATGATTTCTGACTGGATATCAGATGTTGAGTTCAGCATGACACTAAATAGAGATGCAGTTCTTTCAGGGTTATTCTTGGCTGGCAGTTTTATTTTGTTGTTGTTTGTTTTTGTCAGGTTCAGAGGATTATTTCTATGGCAACAGTGCAGCATTCAGATGAAGACACGGGGAGCACAGAGACTCTTGGAGTCAGTCAGTCATGGTTAGGCTGTGTGAAGTGGAGAGTTTTGCCTTGATTTGAATGTCCGGGGCTGTTTAAATTGATTTTTTAACAAAAAACACTCTGCACGTCATGTTCTGTCTGTATTCCCTACCTTAGTTAGATAGCTTGGACTCCTCCATTGATGCATCACTGCTGTGGTGTACTCTCTGGGGGGACACCAAGGTGAAGGAAAGTGCAATATATATAGAGAGACATGCTGCTCACTCCCAAGTCGAGAAAAAAGAGAAAATCTTCCGTCGCCATTGCTGTATCTATTCTCCTGTACAAGTGCAAGAAACACGCATGTGTGTTCCTACTTGTGTCTTTATCTCTGCAGATTTAGAGAGGATCAAATCTGGGAGGTTTCTTTCCGACTGTCAGACTGAACATCCAACTATGATAAATGATGAAGATTAATGGAAAAAATGTCAAATATTAAAGAGTGGACGGCTGTGACTGAGTCGCCGATAGGCAAAGGAATCAATAACAGCTTCTCGAAAGGAGGACCAGTCCCGACTACAGGGGTTTGAGTTCGTGTCTGTAATCCCCTGATAGGGTACGTAAGATATTGAGGATAGTTCCTCATAGATAATAGACTTGACTCACTTTCCAGTCCTGGTTCACAGCTTTCTTTGTCCCACCTTCAAACGCTGATTTCAGGAAAACGACGGCACTGATCGTGACGGATTTTCCATCTGTTGTACCAGAGCCTAAGCGGCGCTCGGCACTTTGGCCTCAAATGCGGTGAATTTCAAAAACGGACAGGAAACAAAGTGCGACAACCACCTATTAGCTCACACACACACACACACATGCTCTCAAGAGTCAATAACCTGCTGTTGCTTGAAATAATGCCTGAGTAAGCAGGGGGATAAAATGTAAAGGTAATTAGCAAAAGGTGTCCAGTGAGAGCGTCTGTGTGTGCGCGCATTTTTCTTCATGTGTGTGAGTATTTGCTACCGAACTGCAGCCAAGGGGACTATAGTCTCCTACAGTTTCTGCCCCCACTGAATGTTATTGCCTCTTATTGGCATCTGAACAGCAGGATGGCTGAGGAGAGATCCACAGACACATTGCATGTGCATCACATTGCAGGGATTGTGCAATGCACTGGACTTCTATGTGATTACTTAACAATTGGCGTATATTTGCTGTTACAGCCTCCTTTTCTATCGAGGCTTCTTCGCATCTCGTTGTGGGGATTCGGCCTGTTTTGCTGCAGGAAACCAGATGTTTTTTGTTGTTGTTGTTGTTTGTTATGCTTTAGGATGTTAATTTTTCCAACTGTTGTTTGTGTCAAGCATGGTTTCACCATTTTTGAGGATGAGATTAAAACCGTTTGACAAAGATGAGCTTGCACTGACAGGGACTTTTTAACTGTTTATTAATTTGTTTATACGACTCTGCCTTTTCTTGCAAGTATTCACAGTAGGAATGGGCATTTTAAGAAAGTCCCTTGATTGATTAATCATATAGATTGATGATCAATCTGTAACTGTTGGTTATAAATGGTCCACACTTCAAACTGATTCCCACAACCTTTTATTTCTGGAAGATATAAGTGGTACAACCGTGAAAACTAAATAACGAATTAATAAAGACAATGTCAATAAAACAACATATTGCAAAGAATTTAAGTTGAACAACAATAAAGTAAATGAAACTACCATGTTCACCCTTCTTAAAACCAACAGTAAAAGCAAAAATAGCTGGGATTGTGCAGACGACGTTCTTGTTCATCTGTCTCTTCCTGGTTTTCCGACGTTGTCCCTCAGCATACTCACACGTGACATCCACGTAATACTAAAGTGCAAGGCAAAAATGACAGTAACCCCAGTACAAGTCAAACTCACCATGAAACAACAAAAACAAAGACAGCTTGTCGTCATGGACCCCCCCTCTGCATAAACTGTCCGTTACACAATCATTGATTTGGTCGTTTTGTTAAATGCGAATGATAGAAAATACACAAAAAACATGTTTTTCCTCATTCAAATACCGCCCTCACTGTTGTTAAGGCAGTGGTTCTCAAATCCAGTCCTCGAGCCCCCCCATCCTGCATGTTTTGGATGTCTCCCTGCTCCAACACACCTGATTCAAATGATCAGCTCGTTATCAAGCTCTGTAATGGCTTAATAACGAGCTGATCATTTGAATCAGGTGTGTTGGAGCAGGGAAACATCCAAAACATGCAGGACGGGGGGGCTCGAGGACTGGATTTGAGAACCACGGCGTTAAGGACTGCATGCTACATGCTCACTTGCACTTCCTACCTGTCCGTCTACCGTAAATACCATTAGTTTTTCTGTCAATCATGAAGCACTAAAATCAGGAACATTTCCAAGAACATCTTTAGCCGAGGGACAGGTCATCCAAAGCAGGGACTGTCCCCTGAAATCGAGGATTTCTGGTCACCGTACAGATCCTCCTTGCTAGCAAGGAGCTGATGGTCAGTTGAGATGAGAGCACTCAGAGGATTCAATAGCCTCAGTCGGATGTATGTCGTTCAAGTGGTACATCATTGGGGTCATTGTTGTGCTGTACTTGTACGCGGCATCATAGTGTTTGCAGCAAACCTCATCATTTTTCAGCTGGAAATGGTCCCGCACCACACTTTGTTTTGCTTTTTTCAACTTCTGCGTCTGTATTACTATTCTGACGCTGTACCGCTCCCTTTGTAAAATGTCAACATCCTTACACACTGTGAAAGTCACTGCATCGCTTTAACACACAAACACTCACTGGACAAAGAGGGTATACCTCCCGATCAGCCGAGGTTGATCTTTGCTGGAATATGTTAATAATGTTAGATCGATCAAAATGTTGCATGATCGATGTAATTCTTAAAGGCATGGTTGACGATCTGGAGATTGGTGATTATTATGAACCTCGTTTATATGGCGATCATGGTCCTTTAGTGATCTCTACAAGGTGAAGAGAAAAAAGAAAGGAAAAAATCCGTTCACCCTAGCAGGTGCAGGGCTGCAAAAACATTGACCAATGGGAGCCATCCATCCCGGACAGCTCCTATCGGTCAATCTCAAGCTCCGCCTCTCCATCCAATCACCTTGCTGTATTTGACACACCCCTCTCCCACAGTTCCGACTCGTCCCCTCCCACTCTCCTGGCCCTCCTCGGAGTTCTGAGCGGCTAAAAGTAGCGTAGTGGCTTAGCTACAGGAACTGTGATGGAGGAGGATACAAAAAACAAACAAAAAAACACTTCTGCTTGCCCCACCGCCAAGTGTTAAGAAAACATAAGCAGACGGAGACAAAGAGGAGATGTGACCAAACGAGGAATCTAACTCGAATTAACACGGGGTCATCCTTCAAGCAGCGAAGAAAGCTCTGCCAGGATTTGGGCCTGGAAACAGACACTAAGACAGCAGAGTTTTTATTGAACAGGTAATTTTTGTCTTTTATCGTGGCACATGTTACATAAATAACTCTTATTACACGGTAGCTGTCCAGGCAGCTGCAGACTGTGCTAGCTAGCAGAGCTGGCGTTTACTGCCGCTAATCACTAGCAATCCGACGTGGTGAAGCTAGCGTAGGATCTTCTGTCAGCCGATTCTTGCTCTGCCAGAGGGGGTGTGTCGTTGGGAGGGTGATACAGGTTCGAGGGGGAGTTATCGTGGAGCACAGAGGGGAGAGGTTTGTGTGGTGGGCGGAGGGACGCTTTCTTCAAATCTGCCTCAACGGCTCAGTTTTTTTCAACTGCTTCTCAGATCGTCAACCATGCCTTTTAACAATCAATTAATCGATCATCCATTCATTGCGCCCATTCCTAACTCACAGTTACTGATGTTCGTAGAGAGGCTGTGCAAGTGCATGTTTAAACCCGGCTTGCACTTGCACGAGACAAGATCAAGAAAAGTACGGGACTTTTCAACACGTAATTAAAAGTTTCTGACCTGAACGAGGACGCTTCACAACACACCGCCCTCCCCCCTGTGTCTGAATAAAATATCTTAAATTTCCACTGAAGGGGAGCTTAGAAATGATGCCGAATTCAAAGAATATCAGGAAAAGCAGGTGAAGAGATTTATGGACTGAAGACTTTGAATAGAGGCTCATTGATCAGCTTCGTTTCCATCTGTATAGAGCTATAAAAGAAAGAGACAATAGGGTTATTTCAAGCATGTACCTGCTTATCCTTACCATAGCATGAAGAATACATGTATCTCTTACATATGTATATGTACCTCATTAGTCTTTTGTCTGCCTATGTATCTCCTTCCGTCTTCCTCTCTCTCTCTGTCAGTGCTCAAGGTGAGTTCAGCCCTTCACAGCCCACTGGGCTGGTAACATTTCCTACCCATTAGAATAGCTGGCTATGCACACACACACACACACTCACTCACACACACAACGCCAGAGACGAAAAGGGAATGCAGGCAGGCCAGCTAAGGTTTTCCGGTACATGGGTCTCATCCCGCCACACGTCACCCTCAATTGTAGTTAACGCCGCTGTGATCAGAGGCTCTCCGACACTTCTCTGTTGCTTCTGCACCCAAAGGCGAAGGAGGGGCACGGGGACAGAGATCTGGAGTGGGAGACATAAACAGCGACGGAAAGCAGGAAATAACATAAAAAATGAGGAAGGAGAGGGAAAAGGACAGAGGAGAGTGTGGGGTCAGGTGTGAGGAACAGAGGAGGAGAGTAGGCAACAGGAGTGAGAGTGGGAGGAAATTAGGAGTGGAGGCGCCGGAGGAGGTGAGGAGTGACTAAGGTGACAAGAAGGCAGTGGGTGAACGAGGGAGGAGGCGGTAAAGTGTCCGTGGTGTGTGTGTGTGTGTGTGCGTGGGGGTTGAGCTGAGAATAGGGAGGTTTAGGAGGCTGGTGTTGGAGTATGTAAGTGTGTGTTTGAAAAGAGGAGAGTGGAGGATTTGACAGAGCGATGTACGTCGAAGGGAACATCAGCGCTGTTATTTCTGCTTCACTCTCCTGTCATGAGTTTGTATCGCTGCTGCAGCAATTATCTCCACCACAGTGTGTGTGTGTGTGTGTATAAGTGTGTATAAGTGTGTGTGTGTGCATTTAAATTAATTGGGAGTGCAAAAATGAGGAAGGAGGAAAGAGTTGGGATGCTGTTTGCGTGTTTTCTATCTCCTCAATTCAATCAAGCTGCTGCTGATTGGACGTGTCCGTTTTCGGCGCGTTTCTCTCTCTTTTTTTGGACGGGTGTGCGGTTCTCATGCTGCGCTCGGTAATGCAATCCAAATTCGTAAGTAGGTGTGTACTTCACTTTGAATGTGACTTTTCACAACTCAATCTGAATGTGTATTTACGAGCGGGGTGCCAGACCGAGTCAACTAGCCCCCCCCCCTCAGACCGATCTGATTACTCTCTTTGCATGCACTCACTCTCCTCCTCTTCCCTCCCATGTTTCTTCCTCTCCTCTCCAAGATAACACTTTGAATGTGTGTGTGTGTGTTTGTAAGGGTGTCCCCAATAGTGTATGTGTGTGTGTTTAGGTAATAGTAGACTAAGCCGAGCAGTTTTGATGCCCCAGTGTGCCCCAGTGATTCACCTTCCCTCCTCCAGGTTTCCACCTGGTCACTGGAGCAGTGCACAGATACGACCTGACACCTGTCCGCTTGGATGGCCAGCAACAGGCCTCACACGCATACACACCTACACATGTGCTGTACGCATCCATGCATAAACACACATTCGTGCCAGAGCCCTCATTTGTACACATTCAAATGCCTTCACGCTCTTGCACAAGCTGAAGGATGAAGGCCCCGGTGTTACGTGCGCACACAAGGACATATGCATGCAACCATAAAGTCAAGAGACACACTCCCTCGCTGCATTCCTCATTCGTAAGCTTCGACATGCACTAAATCCTGACGTTGAGCTCCCAGTGCCTCGGAAGCTGACAAACCCACATGTGCTCGGTTAAAGAGCGGTACTATGATGTGTGTAAATATGTCACAGTTTATCATGCGTTATTGTCGTTAGAAAAACAAGGCTTTCTGCGAATCCACACGACGAAAAAGTTCAAATCATGTTTATGTAGATGTCTCTGCCGAGGCAAAATCCGGAGTTATCTCGCTGGATTTTTTGTGAGTCGTGAATATATTTAGAATTACAATAAGGGCTCAAAGAAATATATAACAACTTCTCTCTGTGTCATGAAACTTTGGAGTGAAGATATGTAAATTGTATTTTTTTTTTTTAAATTTTATTTTATATAACATACAAACAAAACAAAACAAAACAAAAACACAAAAATAGTGATGGTGGGTACATATACAGACAAGACAGAAACAAAAACAGTTAACAGTATCTTAAAGTAGTGTGTGTATGCATGTGAATGTGTGCACGTGTGTGTATGAAGCTTTTGTTTCACCCCCCCCCCCATTGCTCCAAACCCCCTTCTAAATCAAGGAGACCCCTGACCGACCAGCATAAAAGCTGTAAGCTCAAGTGGAGAGCAGGTCCGGCAGGATGTCCGATGTCATGCATGGGGGCAGATGCAAATGTGTTGATGTGTTTGTGCTGATTATGTGGATGTGAGTAAGATGGGGCCAGATTTTATGGATGCTGTGGTTTGGGGGGTCCGGCGATCGTTGAAAGTCAGTTTATTAATAAATGTAGACCAGGTTTTGTTAAAGCAAGGTAAATTGTATTTTAATAACATCCTGTTCGCCGTTCTTGTGGCTCTAAGGGCGCGTTCACACCACCCACGTTTAGTGCGGTTAAACCGAACCCTGGAACGTTTACCCCCCCTTGGTGCAGTTCGTGAACACTGACCTCGAACTCTGGTCCGGACCAAATAAACGAACTCTGGTCTGCCTGAAGAGGTGGTCTCGGACCTCTATCAAGTGAACTCTGGAGCGGTCCATTTCTGGTGTGAACGTCATCCACACCAATCACAGGAAAAGCACCTAGGCTAGGCTTTTTGTAATGCTGGTTGTGAAATGAATGTTGTTCGCTCACCTCACTTGTCCCGATTGACACTAGAGAGAAAACGCATCGTGGTAGACTCTCATTAATGCCTGTCGCCGTCTTGTCTTTGTCCGTCTGTTGTTTGGCAAAATCAGCCTACGATGCTCCATGACAGGCAAAGACAGCAGAGCGGGGTTTGTATTCAAGCATAAACTGATAACCAATAACCGAACGATATTCGCGGTCACGTGACTTCCGGTTCCGTTTTCTGGAGCGATTGATTTTGTCCTTTGTGAACGCAAACCGGACCAGTTAAACAATCAAAACAAATGTATCCTCTTGCCTTGGATTCGAATCAGGAAACTGACCTTTAGGTGTGAACACGACCTTAGAGGCTGTTCATTGCGCTAAAAGCTAATATAACAAACGTAATTGTCCAAGGTGATCACTCTAGGTTGATACCATCTTGCATCATTGTTTCCCAAGGTCAAGAATCAACCAACCTACCATCTTCCTCCATTGTTCCTTGTTTTTTTAACGTCCCACAGAAACACTTTTGCTCTAATCAAACTCGACTGGAACTCTCTCGCCATAAGACCTGACTGTCACCGTCGATGAGCTCGGTGCAGGAAAGATAAAACCGGACACACATCCCTGAGAAGCCGACAGACTTTTACCTGCGTTGAAGTGCTCTCCACTTAAAGCCCCTCTGTCCAGCGAACAGAACCCACCGCCTACAATGAGCATCTCCTGCAGCTGAAGTATTGCGACGTGCGTGTGAGTGCTCCTGAGGTTAACAAGCTTGAGTCAATGTGAACTCGACTGTTTTGAGTGGTTTGGACTTGACAAAGGTGGACTGGAGTAAAGGCTCTATGTGTGTCTTTATATTTCAATATTGTTTGTTAGGAATAAGACTTAGGAAAGCAGTCATAACAAGTTAAAAAGTTATCTAACTGGGCAGATTCATGGACAGAAGCACTGTGATGGATTCTGAACATGGCTTTACTGAGCTCAAAGATGACAGCTGCCATATTTAAAAGCTGAGTCAAATCATGTTCTCAGTTACCCCAAAATTATGCCTGAATCTTTGCAGCTACACAATCCAAACTATTTTAATAATTTCAAACCATTTCTTTTAAATGGTTTACCAAAACATTTTTTTAGAGATTTTTTTTTTTTTTTTACCACTACATAAATATGTTTAAATACTGCTGTAAAATGAGCTTTTGAGTATGGATGGATGGATGCTTGTTTAGATGAATAGAAGAATTGATTGATGGATGACTGTTAGTGTGGATGGATTGATGAATGGATAGATATTTAGATGGATGGATGGATGGATTGATCGATACATGTTAAGATGGATGGATGGATGGATGGATGCATGTTTAGACGATGGATGAATGAATGGATAAATGGATTATTGTTTAGATGGATGGATGGATGGATGTTAAGATAGATAGATGGATGGATGGATGGATGGATCAATGCATGTTAAGATGGATGGATGTATACATGTTAGGATGGATGGATGGATGGATGGATGCATGTTAAAATAGATGGATGAATGATGGATACATGTTGGGATGGATGGTTGGATGGATGGATCGATCAATTGATAGGCGCATGTTAATATACAGTAGATGCATGGATGGATTGATACATGTTACAATGGACGGATGGATGGATGTTTAGATGATGGATGGATGAATGGATAAATGAATTGATGGATGGATGGATGTTTAGATGATGGATAGATGGATGGATAAATGGATGGATGTTTAGATGATGGATAGATGGATGGATAAATGGATTGATGTTTAGATGGATGGATGGATGGATGGATAGATGGATGGATACATGGAGTGATGTTTAGTTGGATGGATGGATGGTTCTGAATGGCTTTAATATTCCTATTAGCATTCACTTAATATTTCAGAACCCAGTTTGTTGTCAAATTGAACCATCTTTTGTTTAAAAAATGGATGAAGAAAAAACAATATGGTTATCAGGTAAGAGCCTTAAATTCAGAGTTAAAAAGGTTCCTCCATTAAGTAATCAGTGAAATACCTCAGTTCATCAGTCACTGTATGTCATATCTCTGTTTGTAGGTATGCCTTTTCCCACAGTCGGCATTATCCTTCAATCTGGAGCCAAAATTAATCTTGACATATTTATTACTTGAATTAAAAGTCTGTGACAATCAGGATCACCCACAGCTCCTTTTTTCTCCTTTCCTTCGATCCATCAGACCCTGGGGGGGTTCGGCGATCCCCAGGAGATCCCTAAATAAACTTCTGGTGTAAAGTCTCCTGCATGAATAGACTCTGAAATATGTCATTTCACCCAAAACTGGACAGGAAATAGAATGATGGAAGTCATTGAAGGGGTGGTCCTCTGGGAGTTAGGGATGTGTACCAAAGTGTGTTTCAGTCCAGACAGCTGATGTTGGTGAATTTCATCTGATATAACTCAGAAACTCTTGATCTGCAGCTACAGCTTCAGGAAAAGTTACACAAATTCAATTCTCCTCTTCCACCGGGGGATCATGAATGTCCAATTGTCTGGCTGAATAACGCTGCCGTCCTCAGAGCTGTGCCATTTGCGAGGCTTGAAAAGCAATTGCCATTAAAATGTCTCCTGCAACCTTATTAGCTTGTGTCTTTAACTAAGGCCTAATACAGTGGGGAGAATGTGCAAGATGAAGGCATGCCAGCAATAAAAGCAAATGCAGCGTGCACAACGGAGCTCATCCCTTTTTTTTCCACAGCAATCTCCTCTCAAGCTGGCATTATTATCATCACCAAGGACAATAGCAGCAAGTGCAGCAACAACCGGGTAATAGGTCATCGCTGTGGTACTTTAAATAGCACTGTCAAAGCGAATATGTTGGCATGAGACGGTTCTGAATGTGGGCCATGTCACTGCGACTCCATGTTCTTCGCTTTTATCATTTTCGCCCGGCTCTGTCAGATAAATTGCGATGTTTTTTTAAAAGCCGTATGAAATGGGAAAAAGTAGTCTTATATAAAATGAGAGACTGGAGTGATTTTTCTCTTTTTTTAGTGTGATCTCCCCTCACTCCCGGTGTCTTTCCACAGCACTCCTTCAAAGCATGCGGGTGATTCTATGACAAGTCGAAGGCAAGACCGCGGCGAGCAGGCTTCACTCTGCGTACGTGTAATGACATATACTCTTACCAGTCTAGATGTAAAGCCAACACAATGTTTTATTAATGAGTCAATCTTCCCGTTAAGGAGTTAAGCAAGCAAGTCATCAAAAATTCAAAAGATGCGAGCGAACGCATGATTAAACCAGGTTGATGTGTTACGTATCAAATCAGGCGGCAAATACGACGGCGGATTAGAGCCGTGTGATTGGTCTGCTTAATGGTGGACATTTCCAGTGTGGTCGAGCCAGACTCCGTGCATCCACACACCGTTTCTCTATTTGGTCGGGACCAACTCTGTTACAGCACCGTCCTTCCCCATGATTTCTTCTCCCTCGTATTCCCCTCGGTTGCCAAGTGATTAATTTTATGATTCAGAGATCTGGCAGTGCTTTCAGTGGTTTGTGGCAGTTTGAGCACACAGACATCAAACGCTGTGAATGGATGTGCTAATTTGTGATCAGAACACAGTTTGTCTGCGTCCTCACGCAGGCATAAGCAAAGCAGCCCTGTCAGCGTGATAGCCCACAAACCGGCCCGCCACCAGCACAGATGACAATGAATCCACGGAGGCAGCCCCAAAGACAAATTCAAATGATAATGTGGTTAATGAGCATGTACGAATGTACTCAGAATGTGCGCCTCACTGGGCTGGATCCAGGCTATTGCAACAGAGCAGCAAGAATTTAACAAATTGTGCCTCCTAGATTGTTTAGGTCTGTGCCCTTTTCCTCCTGACCGAGGTTTTACCTTCCATTCTTGGAGTATTTGCTTTAGGAAACCCAAAGTGCCACATCAGGGGCCAAAAAAGTAATGCTTCATTATTTCACCTGCTCCTGGGGATGTAACAGCTGCAGACGTATTACTTTTACCAACATGGGCTCCATGGCAACAGTGCACTAATGATGCACTGTTGCTCCATCTCCTGATTCACATTGTTTGGGTTGTCATTGTGGGCTCCTTTCAGCCTTGGAAAGTGTGAGGAATGATGGCGCACTCATCACTCGCTCAGGAAACACTGGCACAGGGTTGCAAAGTTCCTCTCTGGGTCTTTTTTAACGCTATTTTTTTATGAAAAAGAAGCTGTAACAATGTTCAATTTGACACATTTATAGTCTGCATTTGAGAACATTTTGTGAGTCCCAAAGGCAGCCCCAGGTTTGGGTCCATAATCACAGCTCCCTGAACCAGTCTGAGAAGCTGCTGTTACATCAGATGTGGACTGAACTCACAGTTGACCTGCTTCCAAAGTGTGTATATTTGCTTTTATGTGCAGAAACTGAGGCACTACAGCATTATCCTACTCGCAGGTGTTGCTGTATAAATCAGAACCCAAAGCAAATAAGCATACGATGTCAAACACCTGCACAGGAAATGAAAATATATTCTAGTTTGATTGATTTTGATCTGTAAATTTGCAGATTTAGTTTGATTTAAGCGTACCCCAATAACATAAATTTACATAAAAATAAGCTTAGAGTGTGCATAATTTTCCTCTTTTCTCTGTAATTCATAGGTTAAAGCTCCTATAAGGAGTTTTTTGGCGTTTATATGTGCAAAAGCAAACAAGAGCATCAGCTGATTCCTATAGTCTTGTTTTTAATGCCTGAAACTGGTGTGAGGGGGTAGGTGTTAACCTTACAGGCCTGTTTTTACAATTTGCACATTAAATGATGCGTTTCACCGGCAAAGTCAGCTGACAGGTAGAGGATAAGATCAGCAAAGCCTGTTTTGTCCACATGGGGGCGCCAAAATTGACATAAACTAAAAGTTCCTCACAGGATAAGTACATGCCATGCGTAGATGTTTCTTACTAGCTGTTGTTAAACCCTAAAATACACAATAGGATCAATGTGTGTGCAATATAATGTAGGACTTAGACAAAGATGGAGACCAGCGTAAATGAAGACAAAAGACCGCATTTTTAAAATCCACAAAATGTATTAATGTTTATTTCTGTGGGTTTCTAGACTGCTATGGATAAATACCATAAACTTGACAGTTAAGTCAAAAGAAAGATGTTCAAAAAAGATTTTAACATTACATTTTAAATAGCTAATATTTACTGCTTTTGCGACTCCATTTTTCAAATTATCTTAAGTTTAAAGATCCTGCGTGGAACTTTTTGTTCATGTCAACTTTGGCGCCCCCTGTGGCCAAAGCAATACTTGAGTAGCGGCAGTTGGCTGTTTCCTTATCTCCTCGGCTGACACCTACCCCCTCACACAGGTTTCAGGTGTTTAAAATTAGGAATCAAAAACCATCAATTTTGCTGCTGATGATCTTGTTTGCTTTTGGACATCGTGAAAAAGCATTAATATGAATTTAAATCAATTTCATAAATGTCAAAGAACTCCTTATAGGAGCTTTAATACAAGGAAATGTCATCAGTGTGTGAATGGGTGAATGTGAAAAGTAATGAAAGAGTCGTTTAAGAAGACTAAGCGTCGTCCGTTTATCATTTAAACTAGACTAAAATGAAGATTTTAAGAAAGGACAGCCTGAAATAACTCTTTCTGATTACATCATTACTTATCCAGTCATCCAAAAGTCCACCAGTAGCAATGTGAATCTTCTATATTTTTTATTTCTTTTTCCCTGGATAGCGTTTCCAGTTCCTCTAGTTTTTTAGTATTAACACAAACCAACAACTGCCAGCCGCAGTTGACTGATCTCCTTATAAAGCGCTTTTATGAAACATTCAGCACTAGATTGCCGCGGCTGCTGCCAGGGCTAATCACAGGCATGAGGGAGGAATTTTGCAAACTTAATGCCAAAAGCGAAATATATTGGACAAGATTTCTTGTTCTTAAGTGACAAATGCCAAAATGACATTCTTACAACAACGGCGAATATCTGCTTTTTTAGTGTTTTGGAATTCAGGACCATACTTTTATTCACTAGAAATGGTCAGCAGCTTTGTTGTAGAGCATTTGAGGTGGCATACCATATCCCACGCAATATTAGAGAGTAGAATAAATGGATGTTGAATTCATTTTTGTAGCTTCTAGTAGCACATTCATGCCTTGTATATCCCTTACACCAGATATAAAGAGCATTTAAGTGCTCTTGATGTACATACCTCAAATCGCAACACATATGTCTCTGTGTCAGAGTCCGTTTCTGACCTCAATCCATCGACAGATCTGCAGAGGACTGCGGTTTCCTCTTCTCCATTCCACTTGCCCCATGGTGCCAGGCGGGATCAATCCATCCCTGCTGAGACATCTGGGAGGAAGTGAAGTTGTGTTTGACCCTGTAGGTTTGCTGCCAGGCGATGACTGTAAGCAGAGCGGACAGGTTCAGCCTGCCTCCACTCTCCTCAAGACCAACCTGGGCTTGTCTGGACAGCCCAGGGAATAGGGACGAGCAGGAGGGGGGGGTGACGGCCGCATGTGAGTGTGTGTGTGTCTAAATATCTACGTGAGTGTACTCTCTGGTGGGAGTGTGCACTTGTAATTGCATGTGTGAATGTGTCTAGTTGTAAAGTGGCTGCAGTCTCTGTGTTAGTGGGGTTACTTACTTGAGTGATGCAATGATGACTGGGATGACTGTAAAAGGGGGTGGCGTGTTTGTTCGGCTGATAGAGGGGTGTGGATGCTTGTCAGTGTGGTATCCATGCGACTCTAAGAATGTAATGATGTGCCATCAAATAACAGTGCTAGAGTTTTATACTGGGGTGGCCCAACTGGGGCACAGTCTTAAAGGGGAACTTTGATACTGTTCAACCTGGGCCCTATTTTCCCATGTGTTTTTGTGCGCTTCACTGACAAGGAGAGCACTATTTTCCAGTATTGTGGGAGAGAAAAACAGCTGGCAGCCGCGAAACCAGATAAATTGTAATTTGACTGGACAATTTCGCATCGTGAAACTACAAGTGCTAAAATGTAAAAAAATTATTGACTGAAAAAATAATCAAATACATGTTATGACTTTATGTCTACTGGGTCTTTATTTCTTTCAAAACGAGACAAAAATGTTCAGACGTTTTGTCCCCTGAATCTACACAAAAAAGTTTCAACATTTTGTTTTACACATCAGTACTAAAATGTTCTGACTTTTGTTTGACTTAAACCAAACAAAAAAATTGTGACATTTTATTGACTAAACCTAGATCGAAATGTTTTTATTTTTAAGGGTTTAAAACCTGACTAAAATCTTTTAACTTTTTGTTGATTCAAACTGATTAAAACGTTCAGACTTTCTGTCATCCACAGATATACTCAAAAGTTCTTACTTTTTGTCGACTTTAGAAAGACCAAAATATTTGTACTTTTGTTCTCTGAAATCAGGCTAAGAAGTTGTGACTTTTTGTCAACTTTAACTAGTTTAAAATATTCTGGTACTTTAGGGTTAAAACTTTAAGGATTAAAACAAAATCTTCTAAATTTGGTTGACTCAAACCAAACTAAAAAGTTTTGACATTTTGTTGTATAAAACTGGACTAAAAAGTTCGGACTTTTTGTTAACCCAAAAAGACTAAAACATTCGAGAAGACTCAAATATTTGTACTTTTTGTGCCCGGAAATCAGGTTAAAAGTTGTGACTTTTGTTGACTAAAACTAGATCAAAATGTTCTGATTTTTAGGGTTTTAAAAATTTTTGTTAACTCAAACAGACTAAAAAGTTAGGACTTTTTCTTGTATAAAACAAGACTGAAAAGTTGTTACCTTTTGTCGACTTCAGGAAGACCAAAATATTTGTACTCTTTGTCCCCTGACATCAGGCTAAAAAGTTGTGACTTTTTGCCAACCAAAACTGGATTCAAATATTCAGATTTTTAGGGTTTTAAACTTGACTAAAATCTTCTAAATTTGGTCGACTCAAACAGACTAAAAAGTTCTGACTTTTTGTCTTACTGACACTACACTGTAATGTTCTGACTTTTTCATAGGCCAAAACTAGACCAGGATGAGTTTTTTTTTTTCTATTTTATTTATTTTTTCATTTATTTTGTCAACTTAAAATAGACTTTCATGTCTTGACCTTTAAATGACAAAAACTAGACAAACATGTTAACTTTTCGATTACTAAAACTTGGTTTAAACTAAAAGGTCTTTAATTTTCTTTCTGATGATGAATTGAATCTTAAAATAGCGAGAAGTGGAGTGTAGAACAAATAGTCTGGGACTCAATAGAGTTCAGAGGGATAACAGTATTGTCAAGATTACTGCTTTAGTTTTTGTAAAGATTTTATGAATAAACCATATTTGAAAAAAAATCGTTCCCTCTGCACTCAGACTCATTCCTCTTTGTCCTACTAGTACATAATGTAAGACTTCACTGTCCTTCTCATAAAGACCAGGTACAAATGCTTCAACCTGCTGCTTTCTTTTACAAGGAGAAGAAAGAACACCACACAAGCAGGTGGAAAGTGCTATTAAGAACAAACACTGCATTGATTTCCAGTCATCGTTCTTGTACACAGTCCCAATTCTCTTCAGGAGGAAGAGGAGTGGGTGGAAGAGGATGGTCTCTGTGGGTTTACATTATTGGAAAGCAGTAATTGGCTAGGTATGAATTCGTCCCATTCATCTCTAATGGGCTGCTCCTGTGATGTCAGCAGTCAACGCTGTAATACAATAGAGCTAATATGAGGCTAATCCTTGGTTTGAATAGGGTATTGTTTGATTGAATCAATTAAACTGGAAAACGCTTTTAAGGCTTTGTGGTTATCTGATGCTGGAATTAATCTCAATTGACTCAATGTGACCTTAAAGGCAATAAAATGTAGTTTCTGCAGCATCATCATTGATTTTTAATTCCTTAAATATCAGCTTCTTCTTCGCACTCTGCAGCTGTGGTATTAGCTCTTGAGGTTTATAGACAAGGGGTCCATAAAACCAGCCGCACCTGAGCCATGTCCGGACTCCACCATGGGACCATATGCTGTGAAGTTTATAGGCAAGTGGCCGTAAAGTGTTGCCAACCAAAATGAGAGACTGACACCTACTTCTGAGAAAACGAAAGCTTGACATGAAAGCGAAGCTCAAGATGCACCGCCGCTGTGATCACCCAGTATGTGCGTGTGTGATAGGAAGGAGGGGGGGGTTACAAGCTCTCACTGTGGAAAACATCACAGTGCAAATTAGCATTAATAACACTATTTGATTCCAAATAAAAGGAGCAAACAACAACGTACACGCACACCTGGCTGCACAAATTTAGTCAACAGATGGGTACACTGCAGGCCAGCTATTGCAGAGGGAAAATGCTAATGAGTTTTCACTGTAGGGCAAATCACAGAAGAACAGGGGGGGGAAAGACTCATATTTTTGGCCAGCGTGTTGTCCAAGGTGACGGCGATGCCCAGAAATAGGAGAGCAGAGAGCGGGACAAAACAATGTTCGCGCCTTGGTGTTGACCAGCTGCTGGCTCTCCGCTGAGGCTGCTGGCTTATACGCAAACACCGAACATTTCGACTCTGTAGCCTGTTTCTTTTAAGGGCCAATTACACAACCAAATGCCATAACATGATCTTAATCCTGCACTTACCTTCTGCTGAAAAATTTCAAGGCCAGTTTACTCCCACTCCTTTTTTTTTTTTTTTTGACAAGTTATAGAGCGCTCGGTAGAAGAAGGAAGAAAAGGAGCAGGGGGAACATTGAGACCTATGCAATTTCATGCAAAAAAGGTTACACCAATTTGCGAAATGTCATTCAGCATTTACTAAAATTATAGGAGAAAGGAGAGGGTTTGTTATACTGATCTAAAAGAGGGATAAAAAAGGCTTTTTAACAGCTGAGACACAGGGGAAAAAAAGGAAAAAGGAGATAATAGTGTGAAGGTTCAGAGCCGAGGTGCAGGCCTTTTATTTGCAGAGTTATGTGCAGAAATGGAAATTAAAAACATTAGTCTTAAATGTTTTTTTACACCATCACTTGTTTTTATTTTCATGAATAAGCCCTTTGTATCAACCATGTATCAACCATGCACCACCATTTTTGTATGGTTGAAAAATTTGACGTATTGCTCCTTTAAGTCTAAGCGTAAACACCTGGAAGTACATAAAGACATACGCAAAAGAAGAGTTTCCCAAATAGCACTGTTTCATCTTCACATTTGGAGACATGTAGACATCGGGACCTGGGATCAAATGCTGTGTTCGAGTTACCGTAGAAGTCAGATGTTCGAGCTGGGAATGACATCAAACCTGAGTTAACAGCGTTTCAGTTATCAAGTCAGAAAAAAGCATAATCGGAGGCGGAAACAAGATGTCTACATTTATGAAAGTTATTTTAGCGCTTGCCTTGTCCTTGCTGATATTCAGACAAGGCAAGCACTAAAATAACTTTCGTAGATGTATCGGAGGCGAAAACAAGATAAGATCCGAATATAAGCAAGGACAAGGCAAGCGCTAAAATAACTTTTATAGATGTAGCCATCTTGTTTTCGCCTCCGATACATCTACGAAAGTTATTTTAGCGCTTGCCTTGTCCGAATATAAGCAAAGACAAGGCAAGTGCTAAAATAACTTCCATAGATGTAGCCATCTTGTTTCCACCTCCGATTTTGCTTTCTTCCGACTTACGCTGGTAACTGGGCGTGACGTCATTCCCAGCTCGGACTTCTGACTTTCGAGGTTACTCGAACGCAGCAAAACCCCTGACCTTCCAACTGGGAAAGAACAGACCCACAGTGATTCTGCATCTTATAAAACCTTGCTTTAAAAACAGTGATATGTCCCTTTAAGTACTGTTTTCTTCTCAACCTTTTAAAATTAATGGAGATGTTCTTCTGTTGTTGAGCAAAGTTGACAGTCTGACATCTCTATCCATCAGGCAACTGCCATGGTAACCAGCCCTGTGAATACCAGCTGATGCAAACCTGAAGGGGAGTCTTCATAATGGTGAGTGATTCTACGTTAAGACACACAAGACTGCGATTCATGCCTTTTAAGATGACCGAAAACTTACTACTTGATGCATTTCCGTCCGTATGGAAAGGTGCCCCTCTGAGTTTTTTAAGGCACATATTAAAAAATGCTGACATTTTATAAGATTATGTTAAATCACTTTAATGTAGTGTTGAGATAATGATGGTACATCTGTGAAGAGCGGGCCCTGGCGATAAAAAGCACTCAGTGGAAATAAATCTGATGGTGACGGCTGGAGCTTTGCAGGCGATGTTGTGCATTCAGAGTGACTGAGCACTAAGTTATGACATCAGATGATTCAGGAAAAGAGGCGTATCAGCTCCGCAAAGCTGGTTTCAGGTTGGATTGGCAATGTCATGGTAGGGTGATAATGCTGCTGGATCAGAGCCGCTCACTCTTGGGATGATAGTGCTTTCTGTGTTAATTAGGCATCTCTTCTGCTATTCTCCTTCAGACAGCGGCGACGTCTGAAAACAACTCTTTGTCTGCTCCTGTCATCCCCGAGACATCACTTGCTTCCTCACTCTTTTCTTCTCTGATTTTGTGGCTAAATCACAGCAGCTCCCATAAAAAGGGATACGAATGGGGTATTTCTGCTGTTGTCAGTGGGTATGTAAAGTATATCCGCAGAAAGCTGCCATATGCTCGGGTTTATGGCACGTTTGATTCCACGGCTTCTGGTGCAGGATAAACTTCCCCTCTTTGCCGGCTATCAAACGGGCTCATCACTCTCATGCTGTCTGATAGAACGGCAGATTTAGTCAAGGCTTCTCCAGATAACAGTGTCAGGTTCAGGGGGAGATGGCTACATTTATCTCAAGAATGAAACAGCTGATCTACTGCAGAAGTACTTCCTCATCAGCCCCTGCACACTAAGGGCCTGATCAAATAGCGAGCGCGAAATTGCATGTGCTATGAGTGGGCGTGTTGCGGGTGATCTACTATCATTGCGTGTGCGATTGATAACAGGTGCAAATGTGGTGCAGATCGCCCTCTTTAAACGAGGATTTCATGTGCGCTATTGGCCATCACCATGGAGAGTTTGTAAGAGCAGAGTAATTGTCGGTGAAAAATTAATTTTGAAACCGTAGAGTTGCACCAATCGTTTTGGGGAAGCAAGCAACTGCATAAAAGGCAAGGGAAGTTAATTTGTATAGCACCTTTTACACACAAGGCGATTCAAAGTCTTTTACGGATGCAAGAAAATACATTTGAAATGAAAAAAAAAGAGATTCAAGCAATTTAAAATCAACTAGAAAAGCACGCGGAGAGCGCAGACCTCTGCCAAGCAGCTCATGTCCCCCCTTAAACAAGAAATGCCCTGACAGGGATTCAAACTCAGGACCTTCTGGTTGTGAGGCGACAGTGCTAACCACTACACCACTGTGCCGCCTATCTACACCACTGTGCCGTCCATTGGTTATCTTTCAGCATTAAAAATTCCAACGACACCCTTTTTTGTGTGTGTTCTGGATCACAGTATCCAGAATTTTGTCCGGATTATCACCAAAATGTAATTGGATCCTCCTGGGGCTGAGACACACCTCTGGTGAACATTTCAGGTCAATCTGTCTGTTACTTTCTCCATAAAGTTGCTAACAGACAAACAAACAAACAAACAAACCAACGCTACATAAAACATAACCTCCTTGGCAGAGGTAATAAGACAAATAGATAAAATTTTGCAACTATTCCGTGTTTGACCTATTTATCGAAACACAGTTGCACTTTTGCATCCTTCTCCCCGCAATGACTGCCGCTATTTGTGTGTAGCGCCTTTCCAATTTGCACATGCCTTTCAAACGTTCTAAATATAGACGCAAAACAGTGACCGCAATTGGTTTCAGGGTTTGATAAATCACATTGTGGGTGCGAAATAATACTATTTGCATCTGCCCAATTATTGGCGGTCTGATGATCGACATACAATCTACATATTTATTAAGGCAAACATGCTAAATGGATTGCGCGCGCTGTTTTGCTCATTTGACAGACGCAATCCTCGATGCACCAGTTTAGTAGATCAGCTTTATGCGCGCTATTAAGTTTGCATACACAAATCTTTGGTAGATCAGGCCCTTAGTAAGTTTTTAGTGGCAATGAGCAATTATTAGTGTCTGCAAAGCTGCTGAAGTTGTCTTTATGTCTTTTATAAACTCCCTCCGGATATTCTCCAAGCATTGTACCCTGCCAAAGTGGCTGACTAACTTTAGCCAGTTATCCATCACAAAGTTTCAGACTTCCCAAAGAAACCGGGACAACAGCCTTGGAAGGGAAGTTGAGGACATTTGAACCGAGTTGTGAAATAACTCTTTTTGCTGCGAGTGTGACTATCAGCATATAAAGTGAGGTCAGTGTGTTGTTGGAGAAGCTGAAGGGGGCTGATGGGCGCCACCAGCAGCAGAGGAAGGTGTTAAGACTGACCCCTGATAACAGCAACTTGGTAAAACTTCCACTTTGCATGTCATATCCCCAGAGGCGATCATTTCCTGTTTTAATCAGACCAACAGTAGAGTCAATACTGCTTTATAGTTGCAAGAGTCTATATCCTTTCCTGTCTCAGCAATCGCCTGTTGCCTATAAATCATTGATTCATTTTTGAGCTGCATTTGTCCTCTATGTTGACGCAGACGGAGTTTATAATGGAAGAAGTTTTGGCTCATTTACCAACACCCTTGGGCCAGTGAGGTGAGGGATCAATGAGCTGGTCCTGGGTTTGATTTTGTGTGCTTTGTTTATTCGTCTTGACTGCTTTTCAGACTGATTGGATATATTCAACCACAGCAGGTGCAGAGAAATAGATGTATGGTATACAGCAATACCCATTTTTTAAGTTTGACTGGTTGTGATTACGAGAGTATGACTTGCAAAGGCAAACCTATAATATTGAATGTTTTGGGAGCACTAGTCTGCGTCTGATGAACCATTCGACTGTATGATCTCTGCAATAAACTCCATTTCCTGCCAATTTAAGCTGCTATATTTGGTGATTTCCAATAAGAGTAGGAAGGATAAACCTCCAAGTAAAAAAAGAGCTTAATTTCAACTTATCCCAGTTAATTGGTTTGCCCACTTGTGACACCTACATGTCAACCCCCAGCTTGGTTTCCCACGCCAGTAAACAGGAAGAAGCAGAAAGAAAGTCTGAGTACCTCGGTGGTTGTTTTTGTAGGAGTGACAGCAGTAACAATTATGCTTTATATTTGGGTTTATATTTTGATTATTGGACCCATATTAGGAAACAAATCATGAATGCAGGTCAAGTCATTAGGAAGGTTTTGATTAATGTGGACAAAACTAAATAATAAATGTGTCTTGGAATCATTAATTAGGACCCCAAAAGTCAAGAAAAGACTAATATTTGACCCTACAAGTATTACGGGCCACATTTCCAGGGTTGGAGTTAGGGTAAGGGTCAGGGAAAAGTACAGAGAAATGAAAAAAGCAAGTTTTCACAACTTCACATGCCAAATTCAAGGACCTAGAATTGAATATAGCTGTCCAGGTAAGACTTAAAATGTTGATAGTGACCTCCTTTGTACCATTTTTGTATTTTGATTCATATTTTCTTCCAAATTTAACATCCATGACGGATTATTGTACATCATTTTTAGAATATTTATTGGAAACACGACTTAAACAAAAAGGTGTACCCCAAGGCTCAACACCAGGTCCTCTATCTTTTTCCTTTTTTCACCTTAAATCTATTTGTTGTGCATTTTGTTTTGCATTTGTGATTAAACATGCCCTCACTGATAACCTGGACTTGTCAATACACATTATATTAATACAACTACAGGCACGATATCCAATGTCAGACTTCTTAAACATAAAGGGGTACCTCAAGGCTCAACACTAGGTCCTCTTTTTCTTTCCTTTTTTAACCTTTAATCAACAGTATTTTTGCTCATTCAGGTGGTGCACCACAATGAACATCTGCAACTGAGTGTGTCAAATACACTCTCCAAACCAGGAAAGGATTAGATTGCAAAAAATTTGTTCCAAAAGGACATTATGTCATCACTGTATATAGTTCAAAGTGTTATAAGATCTCAATGTAATGAAAGAACAGATAAAAAATGCCTCCATAATGCATAATTTGTTAATAATGTTCAATAAAATTAGGTGTTCTATAACTTTTGGGAAAGTTAAAGAGTGCTTTTCTTTAACCAAAGCTAAATAACATGGTAGGGTTGACCTTTTTTAGCAGCGTTTTAAGGCCTGTAGCTCAAGATGATCCCCTGTGAGTAATACACTTACTGTTGTCAAGTGCCTTATAAAAGCCCTTCTCGAATAAACAGGCACTTTCTTTAAATGCAGCCGCACAGAAAGTGGATGAAGTGATAGGCGTAAAGTATCAAAATGTGAAAATCTTTGGCATCCTCCCTACCCTTAAGCCAACAAGAAACAGAAAACACAGACTTCACAATCTCCGATAGCAGCACTGTTCCCTCGTACGGACACTCAGAGGGGTTTCTAACCCGGCCTCCTCGGCTAAGCGTTCCCTTGGAATAGACAGTGGCTACCTTTCTGTGGAATTGGTCAAATAAATGACTTAACTGACTTCTAACTTTGTTGCTCCCCCTTGCTTTCATTTTTCTGTCTCTTTTTTTCCGCTCGTGCTTTCCCTCCGTCAGCAGAAAGTGATGCGGGTATCATATTGCAGAGCAATAACATTCTTATAGCACTTTGGTCAGACCTGCAGTTATTAGAAAATCAGAAGCGTAGACTTCTCTCTTACAGAGGTCTTGTGCTCACTGCAGACCCTCTGCACTCAAACATGTGACTTTACATGTACAGTGTATTTAAAGATGCTGTTTATGTGTATAAAACGAATGCATGGACTGCATCGACTAATGCATGCGCAATTACACGGAGAAAAGATCAAGAGAGAAATCAATGTCAATAAAAATTCTCTTTGCAAGTAGACCCTGTCAAAACCTCTGACTGACGTCTTTTGAATTATAGATGTCTAAGTGACAGATGAATGCTTGGAGATTAATGTCTGTCACCAGCCTTGTGTCTGACACATACACATACTGTCGTGCATATCTATGATCCAGAGCTTGCTATAGTAGATTACAATTAGCCATGAGACAGACACTGATGCAGGCTTTCGTTAACTAAGGCGACACACCATGGCCGTGCATAAACACAAAGATGTTAATGCCTTCAGCAGGTCTCACTGACTCCGTGAACCACGTGAGGTATTCATTGTTGTGGTAGAAATAATGATTGAGTGGCTGGAGCCTGATCTGCGCCAGACAGAGTAAGAGACTCTGAACTGTGCTGCAGGCAATTACTTTGTTTTAGGGCAAGGAAGCAGAGAAGGAGAGAGGAAAGAGGAAGACAGAGTGAGAAAGGAATGCATGGAGGGAGTGCAGAGGAGAAGACTGAGGCAAGAGGGGGAGGCACATGTCAGGCTGGGGGAAGGGCTGCTGTGAGTTAATAGTGGCACCTGGTGGTACTCTGAAGAACTGTATGAAAAATCACAGAAAGTACAGAAAACAGACCATGGGGGATATGTTTTGATGTTTGCCAGCGGCTAAATTCCACACCCACACGCTCTGCATGCGCCTATATATATGTCTGGTTGTACTCATTCTGACTCTCCATTGATTTTATTGATTTGTTGCCTCTGACTCAGAACCCCATTGGTGCTGCATGTACAGTAGTATTTGATGCAGAAGTTTTGCATTACCATTCAGCAGATGCACCCACCTGTGCTTCGCTAACATACTCCAAAAGGGTTTTGAAGTGTAGAGAAGCGGTCTCTGGTCAGACAACTGTTGAGAGGATACAGTATCTCCTTTATTAAGATGTGAGTGTATTGCTTTGATTTGTGCTCACATGGCAGAAATTTCCCTTAGAAATGAAAGCTAAACTAAACAAACTGCCCATTTGTAGTCTTTGCATTTTGACGTACAGGACTGTAGCTGTTGCAAGTTTAGAGTCTCAGCAAAAAATGTGATTAGGTTTGCATACAAAATATAGATCTTGCAATATATAGATTATCACAGTGTCACTGTATTGTGATATAATTGTCATTGAAGACCCCTGAGTCATTGTATCATATCATTTACTTTTGTATCCCATTATATACTTTTGAATGGTATGGTGTCATAGCATTTTAATTGTTTTATATTGTATAAAATCATATCCTTCTGTACTGTGATATATTGCAATATTACTCTTTTGTGATACATATTGTTACGACCAGCCTTGAGGAACCAGTACATAACACAGAAAGATGCTCCCCCTCTTTACCCACTCCCAAGGACGACCAATGCCACACCACTGCAGTCCAACAAAAGATGATTTATTTAACACTCAAAGATAAAGATAGCAATAAAGTTCAGAGTGAGCGTGGCCTAAAACAACAAACAAAACAGTCCATGTCCCAAAGCTAACTTACCTATTCAAAAGAAAATATCATAAAACACAGGTCTCTCAACTGATTTACCTGATAAAACTAGCAGGAGAAAAAGGATTAACAATTAAAGTACCCACCGTTATGACTGTATTGACAGGCTCAATTGTAAAACGTATAACAAAGTATTGAAGAACAGTTTGAGCAGCTCCACCAATCACCATTCACCAATCAGCAGCCAGCACTTGAAGAGAGAAACACCCTAAGGATGGCGGCACCACACTCAGGCAACCCAGGGTCACGACAGTATTGTATCGGGAGGTTCTTGCCATACACACCCCTATTGTATTGTATCAAATCGTATCGTGATACATGTATCGTGATATATATCATATCGTTAAATCCTTACGAATACACACCTCTACATCACAGTGTATCATATCGTATCATGTCATATTGTATTTTATCATATCATTTGTATCGTATCATATTGTTTTGTATCATAACGTATCATGACATATCATTTCATATTATATCAAAACGTAACATATCATATATCATTTCATATCATATCATAACATATCATACCAGATTGTATCATAACATATCATATTGTGTCATAACGTAACGTATTATATCATATAATTTCATATCATATTGTAATGTATCATACCAGATTGTATCATAACGTACCATAATGTATCATATCATATCATATCATTTTATATCATATCGTAACATATAATATCATTTAATATCATTTCGCAACGTAAGGTATCATATATAATTTTATATTGTATTATATTGGATTTCATGGTATCATATTGCATACCATGGCTTTGTATTATATCATTCCGTAACCTATCATATCATATATCATATCATATCATATCATATCATATCGTAGCATTTCATATAATTTCCTATCATATCGTAACATATCATATATTACTTTATGTTGTATTATATTGGATTGCATCGTATCATATTGCATACCATGGCTTTGTATCATATCATTTGTATCATATGATATATCGTATCTTATCATATCATAGTGTTGCTTCCACCCTGAAAATTTATCCATTTGAAGCAGAGTCCTTGAATTCTTGGCCCTAAACCTCACAACAAAGCAACAAAACTCATGAACAGGAGTTTAACATTTCATGACGAAGTAGGTTGCAATCCTTTAACGCATTGGCTCCTTGCTATTATATTAAATTTTATTTAACTGCTACAATATAAAAATGTTATTCATAATTTGAATAAAATTAAACCATTGAAATATTTTATTAAAAACATGACGAGAGGGAATGTTACCAGTCTCTGTCAAGGACAGGGTATGGAGAGGATTGACTGGACAGGACTGGGCAGATTGGCAGAATGAGCAAGACTGGCTGCTTTGTCGGAGGTAGCAGGTGGTGAGTTTTGACTAGCAGACAAACATGTAGGCTGGCAGGTGGTGATCTGCAGTGTGTGCAGCATTGAGCTGAGATGGGTAGAGTGATGAACCTGATGGAGGGCAGGTGTGAGTAATCATAAGTAATCATAGAACCGGGAAGTAGGAGAGCAAGAGCTACACTTTATGTATGCACACAGACAGACAGACAGAGGAGTCATAATAAACAGAGGGCTCCACTTCTCCTAGCTTGACACTCCCACCTTGAACAGACAATGAATAACAGGCTGGGTAAAATGCTTTAAAAATGATCATGGCTACTGTTAAGTTGGGCCTTTTAATACTAGAGTTTAATGGAGACTGACTACAGACTGTAAAAATGGATTTAGTCTCAGTGATGTTAAAAATGTATGCTCTTCTTTTCCTATTCCAGACTATAAATCTCCACACAGTCACACCTGAATCCTGCAAAATGCGAGCACGGTTTCACGCTTCCAGCCATTCATTCGCTGCTCCCTCAGAGTTGTCAAGGGTTAATTGTGGTGTTAAAGGGCGCCCACACAGACTTTGTTAAGAGTGCATTACTCATTCACTTTTCTTGCCTGGATTTACCCAAACAGTCGGGCCTGAGTCTGACACCCACAAGACTGTTTACTCCACAAATATACAAAAATTCAAAACAGTCGTTCCTGTCAGACATTTACCGACGTCGACGCTCGACACGACTCTTTAAAGCGAATATTCAGAGAATGCATTGATTTAGTATATCACCTTGGTTGCCAGGCAACATTAGAGCAAGTGCTGCTGCTTCTATTTAATTTCAGTCTCTCTGCTGATTCCTCTTGTGTTGTTTGTGTGTATTAACTAGGTGAAAAGGGGCATTTTTTAAATAGGACTCTCACAATAAAGACACCAACTTCACTTTCCTAATACTTGTCGCCACCAAAGTGATAACAGACACGCTCCGGCTTCGGCTTTTTGATATGTGTCTCCTCCTTGTTAGTTTCGCCTATGGTGTCCTTGGCTTCCCTGTTGAACACTTTGTGATGTTCTGCAAAGTGCTCCTCATGAATAAATTCAACATCATCTCTCTTACCCACATGCGCACTCACATAGAGCTCTGTATATGTGCCGGAGTCTATGCACAAGCTGCTTGTGTTAAAAGTCGTCGTCAAAGGCACTCAAAGACAGATGGGGAGGGAGGAAAGTGTTTCCTACTATTGATCTGTTGTTTTATGAGAGCTGCAAACATCAAAAATCACCTATAAGCATAACAAAACATGTCTGCATAATCACTAAGGGGTGAGGAGATCTCTGTGTAAGCCTGCAACTGTGTGTAGGAGGTTGTAAATGCGCGTACTTTGAGTGATCACACGGAGAGCAGGCACACTCTGTCATTCTCAACTTCATCCGTCACCGCGCGAAAGGCAGACAAACACATATATATACAGATGCCTGTCCAAAGGTTAACAAGCAAGTGGCGCTACGTGTGTCTCGCGCAGCATTGTGTGATGTATGTGCTGTCCCGTCATTCAAGCTCTGTCACGTTTCCCTTCTCGCTTGAAGAGGTAAACGAGTCAATTGCTGTTAGCCGGGACACGTGGTTGTTTGTCTCTCCTTTCAGATTCGGTGTAACTTTGTTTGTCAGGGAGGAATAAATGGGCCAAGGTCTGTCTCAGGGACGGTGATGCAGGAACATTTAAGATTACACTGACAGCCTGTTCTGTCACACACTGGAGCAGGATGTCGTGCGTGGTGTAGAGATGACTTCTTTTGGACAGCTTGGAAGTGATTTGTGTTTATTTAAACTGTTCGTCTCCATCTTGAATCCTTTTTGAATGTTTTTGAAAGGTTTGTTCGTCGCCCTGTTTGTCCTTGATATCATCACGTTCACTCGGAGATGCGCCTCAAATTTGTCTGCTTTGAATCAAGAGTAACAGACAGATGGATCCGTCTGCATCTGTTAGATTTTTTTTATCTGCCAGCTTTCATCCAAATCTGTCTGGAACATCTGGAGAGTTTGCAAGGGGCGAAATTAACTTGGTGTAAGATACCTTTCGATGAGCTGAATGAATTAATAAATGACCCATCTTCTGATGCTTTTCTGACTTTTGCAAGCTCTGGCTCTGCACTGGTTTGTGCGCTAATTGCAGAAAATAGCCACAACTTCACACCCTGAGCCCACTCATTCAAATGGTGTCGGTATAATTGGTCAAATGAGCTTCCATCTGCCGGGCTCTCCTGAAGTTGGAGCTACAACTCGAGGTGTCTGAGGAATCAATAGTACCAACTTGACATCACATTCACTAAAACATGGTAAATAACCGCAGGATTGGAACTTTTTAAATTATTCACACATGGCGTAGCTACTCAAGACTCATTTGCAATTTTTTATTTGGTATCAGTTTTTTGAAAGTTGCTTGCAGTCGATGTTGAGTGACCTGTAAGATTTAATCATTAAAACAAACAAGCAGCCAGGCTGTATAAAGATTCACACTTTTTCACAGAGTAGTGAAATACTTCAGTGTTAATGTTTTATCTTAAAATATTTGTGACTTTTGTGTATATGATCCAAGACCTAAACATCCAAAATCTACAGAAAGGGCCTGCAGAGCATCTCCTGTGCCGACTAAATTCATTCTTCACGTTGACCTGTCCGCCACGTCTTTAGCTTTTCTTTCAAGTTATTGCCCATAAGGTCGGATACATCATGGACTACAAACCCCTCCGACGGGTGAGCATACACTTCAATTAGAAAAAGACTATAGCCAAGGCGAAGATTCTCTAACAGAATAATTATTAGGGAAGGGGACAAATGTCAAAGCCCTCATTAAATCTCTCTGGTGCCTGCATGTCCAGTGAATAAATCCAAATGGCCTCCATTGTAATTAGGAGGTCACCCCCACCACGGCAGCACTTAACCTATTCAGCGCCGTAAAATTCTAACCGAGGTCAACAATTGAAAATTCTCCCTCTGCGTACACACAGCAGGGACAACAGACGGACGATGTGCATATTGATAAGAAGCAGATCTTTTATAACAGTTGGAGCCAAACTTGAATGGATTGTCGGAAATGTGAGCAACTTATAAAACCCTTTTTGTGGAGGCTTTGTTTTCTCTGTTGGTGCAGAGGCTTTTACATTTCTATATGAAACATGACTTAAGTACATATCTTCAGTAAGCAGTAGAAGTTCTAGCTGTGGATAGAAGAAGCTCTGGATGGGCAAGGAAGTTGAGCGTCTGCTTTGGTTTTCTACGAAAGACAAAAAAAGGCCATGTTTTTTTTTTATGCACTGTCATCTCATGATTACAACTTATCTTGTTATCTCAACATAACAAATAGATTGTTTTCTCATGATAACAGAAATGTTGTTTAGCCTCCTTAAAACGGTAACTTTAAAAAACGCCCTCCAGAGTGGGATATTTCTGAAACGTTGCTGTCGCCATTATCAACAGCAAGCCAGGGTTATCAATAGGGCCCGACCGATTTATCGGCGAGACGATTAAATCGGCCAATGTTAGCCCGTTTGAGACTAATCGGTGGTCGACTAATCGGTTGCCAATTGTTGCCGATATTTTTAGAAATAAAATGAGGAGAATAAGATTTGGTTTCACTTTGAAAATGTTCCACCATTTGTAAAGTTCCCCGACTTATCCTGTAGATGGCGCAGCGACCTCATGACAATCTTCATCCACTAACTACCTCACAGCACAGCAGAGTGACGGATCTGAAGCAGGCAGCTCAGGGACGTACGGAGGAGAGTGGTCCGCCTCAACGGTAAATAAACCAGTTTGTGAAATACACAATAAGTCAACAAGTTTCAGTTCAACCCACTTCACGATGTTCCCCGCTGTGCTGGTCTCGGTCACGCCGAGTTAACGGTGAAGCACCATGTAATATGCAAGCTTAAAGTTAGAGTTAGCCACCCGCTATTAGCCTTGCTACACTGTTAGCCGTGCCAGTAACGGTAGAATAAACAACAGTACACATTACGTGATCGAGCTACTTCTCTTTCTGAGGTAGCTGCATGTCTCCAGATGAGACCGGACCGGAAATGAGTAACGTGAGTTAAGATGCAGAGGCACCGATCGGCGGGGGAGGTGGGGGTTGTTGAAAACGCTTTTCTGGTCCGAGTTTGATTCATGATAAATACATGGAATATTACTGAGATGATCAGTCGGTCTTCCTGTCGGCGTAAAGAGCAGTAGCCTACAGCATATCGAGTGTTCCTCATTTTTTATGATGTACGTGAGTTCGCTTTATTTCTATTTATTTATATAGTCTGTTTATTTTAGAGGATGACGAGTGTGTGAGTTTGACAAGACATAGGTCGACAAAATAATCAGACTCACACCTGCTACAGTCTGAATAATGAGCTGAAAAGAATTAGTTTATCATCTTTATTACAGTTAAAATAAATAGCCAGGGGCTGTTTTAGCAATAAAAAGTATTTGAAATGAGTTTTCTGCCTTTAAGTCTTTGAAGAAGTGTTTGAAAGGCTCAAAAGCAGTCATTAGTTTAAAAAAAAATAAGTAAATTTGTAGATATATTACTTAAATTAACAAAATTTTAAAACTTCACAAAACATTTTAAAAATAGGCCGATTCTACATGTGGAAACATATAACTGCCATAAGCGAATCGGAATACAACAGTAAGAATGGCGGATACATCATTAATTAATTTGTCATCACGAGAAAACAAGCTTTGTCATGTCAAGATAATGGGATAATAAGTCGTTATCACGAGATAACACTACATAAAGAAAAGAAAAATCCACAGAGGTTCTTGTATCTTGTAGGTTTTTTTTGCCAAATTGGTAGTCTGTCCAAATTTTCATATTATGGTAGAGTGCAGATCACAGCTGGACTTTCTTGCGACTAATTAGAAGAAGTTAAATCCCAGGCTTCCTCACATGACTGAAGGCTTTAATAAAACCTGGTCTATCATTGTCTCTAAAGGGGGTAAAAGTTTAACGCCAATATATCAACCTGTCTTAAGCTCAACCTCCTGCTGTTTCATCCACTGGGAACTTTTCTGCAAACTCGCGTTATTCGTCTTTTTCAATGGGCGTTATGAGACTGATTCAAGGTTGCAGTCCCCAAATTCCCTGGAACAGCAGGAGAATAGCATCTTAATCAGAAATTTGGCATGGGAATGATTAGCTGGGCTCAAGGTTGCAGCTCACCAAGGGATCCCATGGACAAGCTGCCCACCAACTTGCTGTAAAATCAAATTTAGATGGTTAAGTGAACATAAAGGACACCTTTACAAAAAGGCACACACTGACACTGAAATCCTAGAAGCACAGAGAACCTTTAGAGGACACTGGTGCACACATTTCTCATGATGTATTTTTTTGTTGTTGGTGCATTATAGCTTGCGAATGTTCCTGTAATTACACAAGAGTGTGTCCTTTGTGCCCACGCGGGGGTTTCCCAAAGCAAAGCCATGAACAAAAGAGCCTCGCAGAAATATAAGCTAAAAATACACCACTGTTTTTTACACCTTAAGACGGCCTGAAAACTGATTCCTGCTCCAAGCCTTCAGGGTTGTCCCCCACTAAATCCCTCTCTGACTCAAACAGTTTGAAAATGTCGAATTGTTTTGGGGAGTTTTTAATGTTTTGTTTCAGACCGATAAGTTATGAATGAGGAGCGAGGATTGAGATTTGAAATTCATGATTTTTTTATCAGTGTTCCTCACACAAGATGTGCTTCTTTTCTCAGCTGACAGTGTTTCCAGGAGAGGTTACTGTGGTATTCACTGTTACATAACCTTGTATCTGCACTTAATGCCTGGCATTGGTGTATATTTTGCCCGTCTGTAGTCTGAGTATCTAGTCTGAAGCCTTATCTAAAAATCATTGCTAACACACTGTTTCTACCCGTTAACAAATGACGGATTCTTTTATATTTCAGCAGCATGACTCATGTTGCTTCAGGGATAGCAATGATATGTCTGTTACTCCATTACTTCCATCCCAAATGAAATATCGAAACAATCCTTGCTAATCTTTTCCTGTTGGATGAACACTGATTGAAATTTTGATTGGCGTTCATGTTTCCCAGAAGTTAAACCCCACGCTCTTTGACCGGTCTTTGACATTTTCTCGAGTTCTGCCTCAAAAGGTTGAACTGTTTCTATTCAAGTTAACCTAGCTACACAGTGATTGAAAGCCCTGTTTTGACAGCCACTAATTGTGCCCAGAGGATTAACCCCAACACTCCCAGATGGTGAATCCAACTTTGCCAAAACCCTTTGCGAATATGAGAACATCAAATCGCTGAAAGCTTTCAAATGTGGTGTGATATATCTCAGAGAGTTTGGAATTGAGTTTGCCTTCTAATGGTGCATTCGAGATACCTCGGAAGTCTGATGTCTGAGCTGGGAATGACGTCACACCCGAGTTACCAGCGTTACAGTTAACAAGTTGGAAAAAAAGCAAAATTAGAGACTGAAACAAGATGACTACATCTATGAAAGTCATTTTAGCACTTGCCTTGTCCGAATATAACAAGGACAAGCAAGCGCTAAAATAACTTTCGTAGGTATAGCTATCTTGTTTCCGCCTTCGATTTTGCTTTTTTCCAACTTGGTACTGGTAACTCACATGTGGCATCATTCCCAGCTTGGACATCTGACTTCCAAGGTAACTCGAACACAGTTTAGCTTGCACTAGCTTTATGTTGGTTCCTGCACCCGTAGAAAAGTTTCGTAAGCATTAGCGGCCTGGTAACAATTTCTTAAGTTAGGAAGTGCGAGTCCCCCAACTGATCTATGCTTTTGCAATAACACTTTTGTAATTCTTGAGGTTTTGCCTTGCCATAGAAAGGATGAGATGAGGTTGTTTGTTTTCTGAAAAACTGGTAAGCATTGGAAAGGTACAGTAAACTTCGGAGTATGCTCATTTTTAAGAAGTTACCAAGTTGGAAAAAAGCAAAATCGGAGGCGGAAACAAGATGACTACATCTATGAAAGTCATTTTAGCACTTGCCTTTTCCTAATATAACAAGGACAAGCAAGCGCTAAAATAACTTTCGTAGGTATAGCTATCTTGTTTCCGCCTTCGATTTTGCTTTTTTCCAACTTGGTACTGGTAACTCACATGTGGCATCATTCCCAGCTTGGACATCTGACTTCCAAGGTAACCCGAACGCAACATAACTAGCACCACCTTTATGTTGATTCCTGCACCCGTAGAATAGTTTCGTGAGTATTTGCGGCCTGGTAACAATTTCTTAAGTTAGGAAGTGCCAGTCCCCCTACTGATCTATGCTTTTGCAATAACATTTGTGTAATTCTTGGGGTTTTGCCTTGCCATCGAAAGGATAAGATTGGGTTGTTTATTTTCCGAAAACTTGTTAGCATTGAAAAGTCACAGTAAACTTCAGAGTATGCTCATTTTTAAGAAGTTTATTTTCGACCCAACTCAACTCATCTTTATTTATAAAGCACTTTAGTCAGCAGTCTTTATATGTGCTGTAGATTATTCCGTCTTTACGGGTGGGAAATTGATCTCATAAAAGCTTTTTCTAGCATATTTCCACATCTAAATATTTGAAATAGCTTCAACATAGTTTAAAAGACTTACACTTGGTCAGGATGAGAGTGCACAGTGGAGCTCTGCGCAGCAAAGAGTGAAGAAGCTGATTTCTCGTTTCCACAATCTGAAGCGAAATGAGAAGGAACTGTACAAATCTGCAAGACTTTATGAGCACGTTTGCACTGCAGTACTATAAATAAATTATTCTTTGTGAACCAGACCTTAAGATGGAAAAGACAGCAGGGCAACTGATTCAAAATTTTGAGTGTTTATTGGCAGCTGTGATTTATTCTAATTGAAAACCTCCTTATAAAGGGGATATTTAATGTCGTAGCAGATTTTGCCTCATAATCACCAGGCCTCCTCTGTGTCACATCCCCCAGAGAGCCACCTGGTAGAAACAGAGTTGAGGGATGACTAATATCAGTTCAAGTACATTATTTTCATGTCACATCAAACTTCTGGGAAGAAGAAAAAAATGAAGTACTTCCCAAAAGCTTGGCTCATTGTTGGACGAGAAATACACACCCCCGCTAGTTTCTGAGCAGCTGACGGGTTCCAGCTACTCAGAGGTTGGATTTGTAGAAGCTCAAGTATATTGAATTTGCAGCCCACAATACAGATTGTGAAAAGCTGCCATTGCACGGCAATCAATAGAGGTAAGGCTTTGCATATCCAGTCAAGAGGGCGAGAAGTAAAACGAGAGTGGGAGAAATGGTGAGTGAAAAAGAGTCGTGATCATTGTGCTTTCTCCATATGTGAGACCAGGCTTCTAATTTCACAATGTTTTGCTTGGTGGATTAAATATTCTATTATAGAGACCTTTTTTTAAGCAGCCCAATCGAATTGCTGGAGGAGAAAAAGAGGAAATGGGGAGATAGCGGGGAGGCCAGTCAGGGTGAGAAGGCAGAAATGTTTCAAAAAGATTGAAAAAAATCATTCCTGGGGTTTATTCAACTCATATCACTCCATCCTATTCGGGCTTATATTTGGGCTTCAAAAAGAAAGTGGGAGGAGTGAGAGGAGGCACACAAAGGACAAGGATAAAGATGGGATCAGATGGAGGTGAGGGAGGAGAGCGGGCATTGAGTGGAAGCTTATCGGCGTAACGCACACCTGGCCCAATGTCCTCTTCTTCTTCTTATGTCTAAGAGATGAAAGCTCCTAAAGGCCAATCGCTACCCAGAGGTCAGCATCCTCACTTTACCCAGACTCCTCCTGTGTATCATTCAAACCCCTACTATCTGGTTTGTTGCTCTTGAGGTTTGGAGCCTCTGTTCTCTTGTGTCCCCTCGAGCGGAAAATCAGATGCCTGTATAGCAGATGTTAATATTTCATCGCTGTCTGTGAAAATTAAGCAGCCGTAGTGCGTAATGAAACCACGCACGGACAAGAAGGATGTGTACTGATCTGTTTCAGGCTTTGTTGGTTAAATTTTAAACTGCAGTAGTGCCTTCACCTGATTTGATGAATGTGTGTTACTGAGTCTGTGTTATATCACTTTAGAAGACAGTGTTTAATATTTTACTGACACTCAAACGTTGTTGACGTTTTTAGGTTCATCAGTGCGGTCCCACATCATGAAATATTCTCAGTGTATGGAAAAGAATCAGTCTCACAATGTGAGTAAAATAAAGTCAGAGCATTTGGGCACAACGTCAAGTTTCTTCATAGCAGCTGTTGGCTTAAGAGTCTGGTCTTGCCCCAACTTGCACATTGAACTGGCTATGACAAAGGGTCAGTATTTGATGTTGTAAGTTGGGATAGGAGAGGAAGGGATGAGAGGATTAAATATCACTCATTGGATTGTAACGTCCAATCCCTGAATGGGTCAAGCTCTTTAAAAGTCAAAGAAGTACACTTCCTTTTTCTATTTTGGCTTTAACGCATCATGTCTTGCACAATCAACACCACCAGTTTTTATTCTATAGTGAAAATGTAGCTCCTAGATTTTCTGTAATCCTGTCGGCGAACATTATAAAAACAAAAAAGGAAGAAGGAAAAACCGTCTTTGTCAAGATTTTAAGCGGCTTACCGCAGGATTCCCAAAGCTGTTATCTGCACGCTCTTAAAATGACAACAAACTGTGTCAGAAGTTGCTCTCATCATCAGCGGTGATGGTTTCTGAGATTGCTGTCATCTCAGCAGGATGTTGTGATGTTGAGTGTGGAGGACGTTTATAGGCTTCGCGGGGTTTGGAGACAGTCAGACTCACAAACATGGAGTGTTTACATGCGCAGCATTTCATCTGGAGACAGAACACATGCTTCTAACCGCCCTTGACACGTAGTTTCTGCAGTTTCCGTTGATCAAAGGGCAAAACTGTGAAAGAAAGAAAGAACAGGGGGATGGAGTGTGTGGATGTGTGTGGGCTTGAATTTTGAATTACAATCAACTCCCAGGAAAAAGTATTAGTTATTTGAGTTTCTTTTTCTTCTTTAGAACATCATTTGTAACAAATGCCCTTTATTGCACTCAATATAAACCTAATATAACACCCAACATCCTTTATTATGCAATGTAGCCCCTTTATTTCACCCATTTAAACCCAATATAAACCCTTTAAAACACCCATTATTATACCTAAAATACACCTTTATAACACCCTTTATTATACCCAATATAAACCTTTAATCTCACCCTTTGTCATACCAAATATAAACCTTTAATATCACCCTTTGTTATACCAAATATAAACCTTCTATAACAGCCTTTATTACATCCTTTGTTATGCCCGATATAGCCCCTGTATTACACCCATTATGAAACTCAATATAAACCTTTTATATCACACTTTGTTGTACCAAATATAAACCCTCTATAACACCCTTTATTACACTCTTTAGTATACCTTTTATGACAACCCTTTTTACACCCTATAGTGCACCCTTTATAACAACCCTTATAATACCCTGCACGATACTCTTTATAACAACCTTTAGGAGCCCTTCTTCTCACCCTATATAACACCCATTATAAAACTCTTATAATGGGTTTACCAAAGGGTGTCCTAAGGTCTTATGAAGGTTGCTATAAGGGTGTTATAACACCCTTTAACAAATCCATTATAACACTCTTTATGACACCCAATATAAACCTTTTATATCACCCTTTGTAATACCAAATGTAAACCCTCTAAACACCCTTTATTAAACACTTCAGTAAACCCTCTGTAACAACCTATATTACATCATTTTTAACACACTTTAATACACATGTTATAACAATGCTTATAACACCCTTCATGATACTCTTTATAACAACCTTTAATTACAACCTTAAGACACCCTTCATAGCACCCTATATAACACCCATTGTAACACTCGTATCATGGGTTTACTAAAGGGTGTCCTAAGGTCTGAAGAAGGTTGTTATAAGGGTGTTATAACACCCTTTATGACATCCATTAGGATACCCTTTATCAAATATTCTCTAAAAATAGTTAAATTGTATTATTTAGTTATTAAATTAGTGGCAATACTCCATGTATTTCTTCATAAGTTGAAGTTTTTCCAGTGCCATGCAGCCTTGGCCTGAATCAACCTGTTTTCAACGTGATTGCTGTGCCAAAAGATGGTGCATCGTAAAAAAGATAAAAAAAATAAAAGCCTTTTGAGCATAGTTGCCTGTCCCCAATTACAAGCAGATCAGCAAACAAAGTTTTACAGTTTATATATTCCATATAACCATCCAGCCAGTTGTCGGGTTTGCTTTATAGTGGGTATCATGGAGTTAAATCTCCTCAGGGTACTTTACATTTTCCCAATAGCAGGAAACTTAAAGCCAATTCATTTGTTTATTATCAGCCAAAGTAATAATTCCTCTAGTAATTCTAATCAGACTGTATTTTTAGCTTGTTTTAACAGTAATGAAACAAATGCTAAAACACCAACAGCCAGACAGTCAGTATCATGGCTGCGGCCTTTGAGGACTCGCTCACACTTTCCTCTGGCGGAGCTTTCAACTTGTCCGATATTTAAAGCATTTCCATGTTGTTGGGTTGGAGCTGAGCAGGTGTTAAGGCTGACAACAGAGCTGAGTTTGCTGACTTAAACCGAAACTTGACACATAAGATCATCTGGGAGCGGTGGTTGGTGCTTCTTCCATCACTCCCAGTCTTGCACTGCAAACTCAAATCAGCAGAAATGGGAAATTATCAAAAGGAATCATGTTCACCTGCAGCAGGAGCTTTTATACTATTTTGCTCGGCAGCATAGCAATTGTGCCTCATCACCACGGCGCTGAAACACCCCAGGGAGGCAGGATGATATAAAAGCGTATTGTGATTGTTCAATTCTGTAATATAAATAGAAATCATCCCCAGAGGAAATGATGGCATGGCGCGCTCCATTGTATTACTCTAAAAGAGGAAAAGTTGCGTCCTTGTGGACATACAGCTGTTTGATTGCATCATATACCAGAGGCTTTCTGTGTAAATGTGTCAAGACAGCTTGCAGACAGCCAACAAGAGACTCGCCAATGAATGACCCCCATTTCGCCCTTAAAAGGTAATTATAGGCCTCTGATGTACCTTGGCGACTAATTTCTCCTCCTAAAGGCCTGAGGGGGAGGGTGTTGGCATAAATGTGCTACTATACAATGCTTTAGAAAAAACAACTGTGAATACATTGAAGGGAGGAGGATGAGGGGAGAAGAAACGAAGGGCCTGGACATACTGAGCGTTAATATTTTATACCCTCGGCCTGCGTTTGTCTCTCTCTCCATTTTTCTCAAGTTTAATAAACGTCAGGGACACGTGAGCGAGACAGAAGGAGAAAGGGGGGGGCTGCACATACGCATCCTATGGTGCACTCATTTCTATTTTTAGACCGGGCTCTCTAATGGCCCTTTTTTTTTTAACAAGCTGAACTATCAGAACACATGCACCTTATTTTTTGGGACTTTTTGCCGCTTGTTATAGAGGAAATGTTTTATTTGCACTGTCAAAAGTGCAAGTGACCATGTCAGGGTTTTATTAAAACAATATTTTCAGCAATATTGTAAACAAACGCAGACTCTGTTGCGTATTTTTGCCTCTCGTCTCGTAAAGAAGGTGGCAGGGTCTATTACAGGACGTCATGTAATGTTGCGGTGAGTGGGAGCCTGTTATGCCAGCTCTGAAGCATTACATAACTCAGCCGGAGCTTCATCCTGCAAAGTCACAAACAAAAACTGACTCCATCGAAGGGCGGATTAATATTTGACCCAAATGCTGGAGAGTGCTATCAGATTAGACGCTGCTTCACTTAGGTAGGTTTTCAAACGTAACACTGGGGTGCATCCGAAATCGCCCAGAAGGGAGGCTTTATTTATAAATGGTGAAACCTGTATCACATCGGTCAATAAGGATCTCGAAATAAACCCGAAAAGAGGACTCCCCCTCTCTTTCCTGCACATCTATTTGTGGACCAGATCAATCCCAGCCCTGCACGGCAATAACTGGGAGCTCAGACAGCTCATCTGCACAATCAGACTCATAAATTAGGGCAATGAAGCTGCGTTTTGCACTTGAATCTAATGAACAGGCTGTGCTTTGAGATTTAAGGCGGCAAATGATTTGCAATTCATGACGCTATCAGCTGCCGCGATCCGTTCTCTTTGAATTCGTGTCTCAGTAAATTGATTTAAGCCAGGTCGCTTTATTTTTTGAGAACAAAATCAGATTAATTCTTTTAATCGAGATGATATTTCTCAAAGTGAAAACAGAAACTCTCAGGTCAGACTTCACAGCAGCTGTAGCTCTTAACCGGATGTCATTTTGGCCCTAATACCTCCTAATTGAGCATCAGCTTTCATCCTAGACCTATTTAAGTAACGTGGTAACTGGAGTATGCATAGAGTAAACAACATCTCAAAAAGACAGGAGGAGTGTGGGCCGTGCAAATAAATGTAGAGACTGGCTTCAGTTCTCCACCAGATGGTTAAAGGTTCAAAAGCAGACACAACACTTATGAAATAAAGAGTTCCCCTTGAACAAATTTGGTCCCAGCTTTCTTTTATAGCAATGTTGGTGAGTAGGCGGATGTGCGAACTGCCGGAGAAGCACATTTGTGCTCTCTGTTTGGCTGGACGTGACATCAGCTTGGAGCAACCACGTAAAAACCGAATCACAAATTCGTATGTGAGGGGGAGAATGACCGAGCGTACTCAACAAATGTGGCCCTGGCAGTGATAGTAAAACCCGAATCACGAACTTCGATGTTGGGAATACAGAACCCACTTGCAACAAGAGTGTCCGGTACTTTCACGAAAGTTTCGTCTTTTTTACGTCCGTTCTTTGCCTGTTGAGGTTTCTTGCTGTATATAGAATGGACGCCATCTGCCTCCTCGCTGGGTGAAGCCACTCTGAAAACAGCACCCTCTGGTGACTTTAGAACTTTAGAAATTTATTACACAGAATATAAAATTTTCTCCCCCCTGCTTGCAATGTTGACATGTAGTCATTATTCAGTTTTCATTCATTGGCTTTCAACCCTGCATGAGACTCGGCTCCTGTTTTAGTGTTTTATGGTTTGTTTTTAGTTATTTGTTTCTATGTTTTTAAAAAACATTGAAACTATATTTTACTTTTTAATTCTGCTTTTATTTTATCCATTGTTTAAATTGTTTTTTATGTTGTTGTTTTGTCTAGTTATGTACAGCACTTTGTTCAGCTGTGGTTGTTTTAAAGTGCTTAACAAATAAAGTTGAGTTCAGTTGAGTAGTTACTGTAAGACTGGTTTGTACTCAAGTCCTCTTTTCTCTGTACAGCTCTGTTTTTAAAAGTTATTATAGGCAGTGTTGTTATCGTTGACGATGACATTGACGAAAATATTTTGTCAACGTCATCGCCAACAAAAAAACAACACTGCAAAATATATGTTTGGTGTTTCACTGATGAAATGCTCATGAATTTTGCAACTCTGTTCGTCATCCACCACAAACATTTTTGTCTAGTCTCGTCTCGTCAACGTAAACGCACATTCGTCTCGTCACATTTTAATCATCTAAGACTTATGTTTAGCTCGTCAACGTCACATCTTCGTCGTGGAAAAAAAGGGGCGTTGATGAAATATTTTCATCAAAGAAAACAACACTGATTAGGGGGTTCATATTTTCTATGATTGACACTTGATACAGCCTAGATTGCAAAGATTGCGTAGCTCACCCAGGGGATACGCTGTCTGAGCTGAGCATCATCACAGCGACTCTCCGCGACTTTTCCGCCGAATGCGCACAACGCTACTGCACAATGTTGGTATTAGGAAGTGGAGAAAAACTGCGGAATTGCCAAGAGCTTTTCGGCTTCAAATACGTATCTTGACAGAAGGCAGAACCAAGTTGTCCATAGTATATACAGTCTATAATCCAACCACAAACACCAGGGCATTTTCAGCTCAATTTAGCCAGAGAAGATCAATCTGCAACCACGTTATCAAAGGGAAAGTGCATGTAAATGTTCTGACTGAATGCGTATAAATCGTCTTCTCTTTTCTGTGTTTACTTGACTGGCAGTATGAGAGGCAATCAAACCCATTTCTCAGCCAGAGATGATTTGTTGCTGTTGTTGTTGTTGCCCTCCTAATAAAATATATATATTCCTTCTAGGAAGAGGAATCCGGCCGAGAAACCATGTTCATTAGCACAAACAAGGAGATAAGATGTTTGTGAAACAAATGCAGCGGATTTGACCACAGAGGGAAAATGAAAGGATGGAGTCGGCCGAAGTGACAGAGGCGGGCGGGGAAGAATTGATGAAGGGGTGTGGAAGGGAGTAAATTGAGAAAGAGGCATATCAACTCCGAGCCAAATAGAAAAAACTGAAATGAAGAGAGACAAATAAATGGCAAGAGAACTAATGCAGCATAAAAAGGCAATTTCCTAAACCTCTGAAACCCCCTCCTGGGTAGAAACAATTACTGCGGATGGGGAGACAGTTATGATTAAACAAGCGAACGCCTTGACAGAGGAGATAAACTTTAGAGGGGATGGGTTGACAGAGAGTCAGAATTTGATAGCTAATTCTTTGCCGCTGATCGGCGCCTGCAGTGAGAGCAGCAACATGGTATATGACAGCCCAGGAAAGGATGAGACACAACTGCCAGCTGTGATTTCACGAAAGTCAAAGCTGAACTTCACATGACTTTTTGCCCTTATGGTGTATAACAATGATTGCTTGCTGCCCGTGGAAGTAAAATGACATTAATTGTCTTTATTTGAGAGTTGTGGTCCGCTCTGGCTAAACTAATTCCAAGGATAGGGCACGGCTTCGAATGAAATTAAACGAGATGGTCCGAGAGTGCCGAGTCTTTGCATTATCTGATTAGAAAACAAGAGATTGATATGACAGTTCCTGAAATTGTTAACTGGATTAATGTATTAAAAGTGGATAAATCCTTTTGAGGCTAAGAGGAAAATGGTCATTAACAATCAGCTACGTCAAAATGATAGCAGGGGGGCACTTTGGCGTCCGCTAAAAGGCAAGGACTGTCATCAAATGGAAAATGTTTGGCTGGATTACTTTGCTCTCTGTAAAAAAAACACGGCTGTGAAATTGGTGTGCTTTTCCAAGAGGATCAAAACCATGAGGTGGAGTCAAATGGCAATAGCATGCGGCATGTTCGGAGATAAATGCAAATCGAAGGGAAAGTTTAGACAGTTCTGACTCTTCCTACCTGAGATCCAGGACGCAGAAGGACAATTCAGGCTCTCCAATTTATTTCTCTATACGGTATTTTTAGCGTCGCTCTGGCCTGAATGCATTCGAGATGTGAGGCTGGAGACGAGGACAGTAAGGTTCTTCATCTCTGCAGCCTTCTGGTTTATTTTCAATCACCAATTTGTTCTGAATTTTCTTCATTCTACTCTAATGTATGAGAACATACTGAAGCAGGTTCATTTGGGGTTAGTGAAGCAGCATTTCCAAGTAGGTCAATAATTTCAAAAAAGGCAGAGAGTCGTCTAAGTCTCACTGAAAAGAGATAAAGAAATCATTAATTAACCAAGCCAGCGCTCAGACTTCTGCGAAACCTCACAGACGGAATCTCGTGTCAGAGTTGAGTCAGAGTCATGCATGTTCAACTTCAAATGATAAGCAAGTGTGATTTTAAGCAAATTCACCAAGTCTCTGTCTTTGTGTTTACCATCTTTGCAGCGCATCGTTTAATAAAATAAACACAGAGAACTTTAAGGCAGCACTTGTTAGGTGTGGGAATCACTCGTAGCCCTACAGTACAATATCATCACGATACTTGGGTCATGATACAGTATTATTGTGATTTTTAACATTTGCAATACACTAAGTATTGCGGTACCATATATTACCATATATTATTTATACATTTTTTTAACTGTTTAGCTAATTTAGCATTTGTCTTTCCTTTAGGTCCGTCTTATTTACACAGTATTTTATTTTCATACTGCACATCTTGCCAACCTTATACATATATATATTAAGGTGGCCATATTCTGACTTCCCAAAAAGAGGACAGGACTACACAGGGATGGAGTCACGGAGTCGCATATAGTTAATTTTGAGAGTTTTTTTGGGTCTTTTATGCACTTCTAACCCCCAATTTCCATCACATCCAGAACGGCTACGAATAGGCCGTATCCACTGATCATGGCTGATTGTAACCATTCAAGTTAATGTGTCAATTACCACCGGCTACTTTCCGTTCCGCTATGGATCGCCGAAATCCGCAGGTGATCGCAAGAGTTCGATTTTTCCCAGATGCTGGAGCATGCAAGCATAGATTAGCCCACGCTGGAAAGGAAGTCGGGCACAGACACAAAATAAAACATCCGCTTTCTTTTCAAATTAAAGCACTCTGTGTTTAAGGCAGATAGTTTTTCACACCACGCAAACGGATGGGGATGATCAGGTGAAAGGTTGATTTCAGCATTTCATCCCGATGACACCATGAATGAGAGGATGCGGAGTCTAGAAGATTTCCTCCTCTGCTTATATGGTTAGCCTATGTAGCTAAAGACAACTTGTTATCATGCGATTCAAGCTGTCCGTAATCCACCACAAAATTCGCCTCACAAACAGTTTTGGTAGGAATTGGAAGACAGTGAAAATCGCCGCCATTCCGGATCTGAGCCGTTCTGGGTGTGGTGAAATTTGGCGGTAACTCAGTAAGTCGAAACTTACGTACAAAACCGTGGAGCTTCGAAGGGTTTTATAAACTTCTTTTATAAATATATATATTTGTTGTAGTAACTTTCTGCTGCTCTGTGATGTCACCTCTGCCAACCTCACTTGACAAAAAGTTGATTTTATTTTTCCATTATCATAAATTTGACTTCATATTAGTAATTAATTTGAAAAATCAATACTTGCTAAATGAGACGATACAAGATATTACCAGATAAAATATTGCGATACTATGCTGTATCGATCTAGCACTCGTACAGGATCCTTTTTCCTCTAACGTGTTTGCTCCCCCTTCAACTAGACCTTTAAATATCTCAGTTTGTGGTTTCTTTAAGTTTGTTTTCTTTCATTTGATTGATGTCCCATTCCCGTGCAGTCCCAACATGCAGTTTCGATTTAATTGTGATGGTAGTATGTCAGTAAATGCTCCATAACAACTTGGTGGCACCAGTTAAACACGACAGTTTCCTGTTATCTTGCACTCTGTAGGTAGTTTTAAGTCAATCTCAGTCTCTGTTTTTACCTATAAAATCAAAAGACAAGTTCGGGAGAAGGATCAAAGGAGAGCAGACGCTGGGAACTCAGCTCTTTAAATGACAGTCTATAGTAGCAGCAGAGGGCAGGGAGAAAAGCAGCCATTTCTGGAGCTGGATGGCAGCCTTTGGCTCTGAACTCATTACCGGTAAAATCAAAAGATTCTGTGGAAAGAGCTCGCTGCCATCTCTAAAATCTCTGCCCTGCTCTCCTTTTAGAACACAGCTTTTCTCTCCAACACATCATTTGCCCCCAACACCACCACCACCACCTTCCTCTCCTCATCCGAACATAACAGGCAGCAAGACTTCACACAGTCGGGAAACTGGGTCAATAACAAATGGAGACTGAGAGGAGGAAGAGAAGACAGAGAGGAGCAGCAGGCTTGTTGCTGCTCTAGTTTGATGTAGTGAATAATAAGACATAAAAGGAGGACAATCTATCATATGTCATTTGCTTTAATTGTTTCTCTCTCTTTTTCACTCTTGCTGCGTGTGTGTGGGCACACAATAGGAAAATATGCTCTTCAGTGGATCAGACACGTGCCGGGCTCCCTCTGCTGTCAGTCAGGGCTAAACTTCATTTATATTCTCTTAGTGAGCGCAGGACAAACGGGAGGTCTACTACAAAAGGAGTCAGTCTAAACTAGCAGAACCAGAGGAGATTGGCGGCTGATCAGGAGCCTCAAGATTTTGTTTCATTTAAAGCTCCTGTGAGGAGTTTTTTGTTGGTGGATTTTGGCGCCCTCTTGTGGAAAAAAATACCACCTCCTTTCTCTTGTTGTCCTGTGTCATTCTGACTCTCTGATTTAGCAGTGTGTCTCTTTATCCGACACATACCCCAAGGCGGTAATAATCCGAAAACAATAATGTGGAAAAAGCTCATCTTTACGCTGATGGTCTTGTTTGCTTTTGTTTGTTATTAAAAGGCGTTTATATTAATTTAGGTCTGTTTCATCGCCAGTGAAAACCTCATCGCAGGAGATTTAATCATCTCAGATTTCAAATAAATCACTAGAAGCAGCCGCCAGGTAAAGAACAGCCCACGCTCGTATTAATCAAGCCAAATCAAAAAGACTTTATTAAAAAGCAGATGATATCCAAGCAGCACCAGAAGACTTTTAATACAACCAGCATCACAGCAAAGTTAATGATAAATGAAATTGTAATTTCATAACAATTTGCTTGAGGTGAATCAAAGGCCATAAAATAAGGTCCCCATCCGCTCAAATTTAGCCTGATGTTATCCCAACTGTGTTGTACTTCCTTTTAATGTTGAATTTTCATGAGTAAAGCACGCAAGGCAAAGACTTTAGGAACCTTTAGGTTGGTTTTTAAGTATTTCTAACTGATGTTTACTTCAAGAGTCATTAAGAAAGATGATTATTTTATTATTTTGCTGAAAGAATAAGCAGCGAAGGAAGAGAGTGTGGTTTTCTGCTGCTCTTTTTAAAACGTAACTCAACCGAGAAGTTTAAGCAACCTGAGAGGCAAAATTCGGGACAAACAACATGAGACGGCGCCTGGATCTGGGTGCAGTTTCTGAGTTAAAGGGGTGAATGTTGCCGACCTCTTGCTTCTCTTGCTTCCCCAGTTATACCAACTTTATAATGACTGCATGCTAGCAATACACAGCGGTCTGAGGAGCCACGCGCTCAACATAAACGCCACTCTGTAGCCACAAATAATGCTCAGAACAGCACCTAACTTCACCTAACTACTAGCCACCAAACATCTCTTTAGCTTTGCTTGGTTTCTTTTGGAAAGAGACTAAACACAACTCACCTACTCTCCTCCAGCAGCCGCTTGTTTGAAGCAAGACCTCGGACGAGTCCATTACCGACTGCAGTGGGGTGACGAGTTTTTCTGCCTTAGTGTCTCAATCTGATTGCATTTCCATGAAGAAATTATCATAAATGTTTTTCCTTGAGCTGCGTCACCCCGCAGCAGTAATGGACTCGTCCGAGGTCTCACTTCAAACAAGCAGCTGCTGGAAGAGAGTAGGTGAGTTGTGTTTAGTCTCTTCGCTAAAGAAATTAGACAAAGCTAAAAAGATGTTTGGTGACTAGTGCTATGGCTGGGACCCTAAATGTACTGTTGATGAAGTTAGGTGCTGTTCTGAGCATTATTTGTGGCTATAGAGTGGCGTTTTGGTTGAGCACGTGGCTCCTGAGACCGCTGTGTATTGCTATTGTGCGGTTGTTACTAAAGTTGGTATATCCCGAGAAGCAAGCGGTCAGCAACGTTCATCTCTTGACGGGGTGTCTAACTTGGTGTTACGGTGTGTTTGACCCTGATTTGATTTTACGCCGGAATATCCCTTTAAGAACCCTGTCCACCTGAATTACAGTGGACACTCCTACAATTAAAGACGACCTGAATATGCTGATCAACTCTGTTCCTTTAAAGGAATATTAAAAGACTCTATAAATATATAACCTGTTGCTGTAGATGATGCTTTTAACTTTTTGGTCTCTGTTCACGTCTTCCAATAAATAATTCCTTTTTAGGAAGCCCTCAATTCCACTCCACATCAAAGATTAGGTCCCTCTCTTTCCATTTCACAGCCAGAGTCCAACTCTTACTTTGCCGCGTTGGTTTAAAACCTGCAAGTGTAATATAAAGTCTACTAAAAGAATAATAAATCAGTCACTCTTTCATGTACGTTTTGACAGCAATTATGCATGCATTTGTGTTTGACTAAACTGGAATATAGAGGTCGGACCTACTTGGAAAAACAGGGTTATGTTGTCTTTGATATATGCAAGAACGCCCACAGGTTTAATTGAGGCTCCGAAGCAAATGTGTAATTGTACGTGTGAATTTGAAGAGGTTGCGTGGGAGTTTTTTCATGTTTACTAATGCCTGTTACTTTGCACTCTTGAAAGTCATCTACCAGCTGCTCAGGTGCAGAAAATACTCGGCTTTCTGTGCAGCACTTGATCGACTAGAATCAAAGCATGTAAGGGCAAGGCAGGCAACTTAAAATAGTACAACTTTTATTATATTCCTTTTGAAAGGAACTGAGTGATTTTAGGCATTTTTGACCGCTGACCAGTCATCTGAGAGGTCTAAGTGGTCTGGGTCTCAGTTCTCTGCGAGTCCCCGCTCTTGCTTCCTCTGGGTCGCTGCTGCAGATGTTCATCTGTCGTGTTTCCGTCCATCACTCTCTCCCTCTATCAGTAGGAACATCCACTTTGAGTAAAAAATAAGTACATTTTAGTCATCTCCTCTCATGAAGAGCTTGCAGCGTGGTCAACATCAACAAAAGCTTCACCCGGGACCCGGTCTTCCGCGACCTCTGACCGCCATTAGCCTCTGTTGCGCTCGAGCCGCACAGATGGCAGGTATTCATCTGAAAACGCAGGGAGCTTAATGATGTCTTGTCCCGGCCGTAAGAACTTCTCCGTCCGTACATTTCGTCTGGAATGAGTCACACAGTCCTGTTTAACAAATTTGGTACTGAAAATGGATTTCAGGTCACTTCCTCCACCTCTTGGCTGCCTGCAGAAATGACTATAAACTCACAATGTAACACGTAGCACATTGGATGTCACCCTCGTGGGATGAGCTGTCACAACAAGGGAAACATTTTCTCTGTGGTGCTCTGTTGATCTTTTTTTTTTTTTAACGAGGTTTTACTTTTAATTATTTCAGATTTCTTTGAAACCTTGATTTCTGAGACGTTTCTCGGTCTGCTGTTCTGTGACGCCAAACAAAGCAGAGTTTATTTTGTCCCTTTTTTTTTTACTTTGCAGTGTTTGCGCCATCTGACACTTTCCTTTGTTGGTGCTGTGAACACTTTTTCCTTATGCAGTTGAGTTCTTATTCTTAGGTCAAACATTTTACACCATAATAAAGGTGTTTTTAGGGCTTTCAAGTTTTGAACTAAGCTTGGAGTGAGATTTTTGAAGATAATGTATTAGTAAAATAATCTAATAAATACAATGAAGCATAAGGGCCACATTAAGAAAAAAAATATTTTTTAGACTGAGGTAAAGTCATTACTTACGAGAATAAAGTCATTAATTTATGAGGATAGAGTAGTAACGTTACCTGTTGTGGAGGAGAGTTGTTAAAATGAGGGCTGTGGAGCATTTAGATGAATTGTACTTCTGTAGAGGTTTCACAAATATGGAGATACTTAATCCTTTGGTACATCAGCATCACATTGTCATGAGTATCATAACTTTGAAAAGAATAAATGAGAAATGCATCTTTTTCACAGAAAAAAACAGATGGACTTCGAGGGAAATGGTTGGAAATGGCTGTCCAGAGGCTGAATTTGTCAATACAGCTGTTAAGAACAATAGAATAGGGCTTTAGTTCATCGTATGAGTCTGTATGCCATTAGGTGTTGAGGGTCTGCAAGTGTGAGATAGCGTTTTTTTCGTGCGATTATTTCAGACGTCAATTTTTTTTTCGAACCCGTATCCTGTCAATACAAGCGTTCACATCAGCAACGTTTTTCCATCCTGCGATATTGCGGCATTTATTTTTTTGTTTCACAGTCAATTTTTCTAAAGTTTCACTTCGTGTGTGTCCACTTCTGACCAATCAGATTGCGTGTTGTTGCGACGTCAGATTCACTGGTATATCCAACATGGCCGACCGGCTGATTGTTTACGTGTCGAAGAACAGAGTGCTTTTTGATAAAAGACACAAATATTACAAAGATAACAACCTGAAGGACAACTTGTGGAGAGTCATAGTGTCGGATTTCTCATATGACGATGGTTTGTGTGCTTTAACAGTTTGTTAAACGTCTTTGTTTTAACTTTCATCTGTGCTAAGTAACTTTAGCTCGTAAGCTAACCTGTTCAGATACAACATACCATATGTATTTTCACTGTCTCAAACTCAATCGTGTTGCTGTCACAGCACCATTAGGTCTCGGTTGTTACCTTACGTTTATGGATTATAGTTTAATGTGCTTATCTGGTACTGGCCCCGACTCAGTACATGCTGATATGACAGACAGTCATCTGCATCACGCTTGATATGTATAGTCAGGCGCGTCAAAATTCGCCTCTGAATGTTTCGTAATTTCACATCAGATATTTGTGTCGTTCCTGGTGTGTAAGGACCTTTACTGTGATCATTGGGTATTTTTCAGGTTTATGAAACCTGCTTCTTTCAGTGAGTGTCCATCTTCAAAATCTACCCGGATAGAGCAATGCGACTTTTTACACATACTTTATTTGATTAGCTTGCGTGTTGCACGCAGCTTCTGAACTCTCGGGGGAACTGACTTGATTCCTACCTGTTTCATTGCTACAGAGGTGCAACTTCGTGGATGTCTCCGTAGTAATTTTAAATGCGAGAGAAATACAATGTATGGCGTGTGAACATGTGAACGGGTGGGAATGCATGTGTCACACGCCTACTGCGTGAGACTTAAGAGCCCCGTGTTTTACTTTATTCTTAATTATTATCTTTGCCGCACAGCCTCCGCTTTAGTCCTCAAGCGGAGGGGCAGAACTACATCACAACAAAAAAAGGACCTCATTTACATGTCCTGAGATTTCCCCACAACTATTTCCACAGCTGTGCTCGTCTTCACCAACCAGCTGCCTGATCGGCGTTTAGAAAGTGAAAAAAGAATCCGTCATGCACTTGCCAAAAAACATCTCAAAAAGAAAAATCAGGCTGAACTTTCAGGACGCTCATCACCATGGCAACATAATGTGTTTGTACCACCAAAAGCATTCAGGGGACCTGGTTGCTGAAACCTTTTTGCATTAGAGACCATCAAAATTGATGGAAAGCTCACCAAGAAGCCTTTTTGTTTGTGTGCCTGATTCAGGAGGTTTTTGATGTTGTTTTCCCTGGCACACCCACACTGCCCTCTATCTGGAAAAGTATTTCCAATTTGGTTTTGATATTAGTGGAAATATTTTTAACCTTATGTTCTCTGTCGGGGTGAAAAGGCAGAGCAGAACTGCCTTGTGTTACAGCCAAAAATTTATACACTGCTCTTTAATAATAACAACAACTGTGGCCCTGAGAATTCAGCTCTGCTGTTATCCAGCAGGACAGACTATTACAATATTAATCCACAACCGGTGGGACTTGTCTCAGAGTCCCGGCTGACTCTGGGCTCCGCAGCCAAGCTTGGCCATTAAACACTATTTGAGCCTGCTGCTCACAAGTCTGCTCACGTTGCGCCAAACAGCAGATTGCCCTGCTCGCTCTAATGCGGTGCCACTATTGGCTCATACCCACATTAGGTATGGCTGAGGCATCATCGGCTTCCTGAAAACATTAAGATCTTTTTCTGTGCACAGACGGTCCTGCTATAGACCCCCTTTTGTGCTGCGTAGAAAGAGAATGGGGAAGGATATGAAAGGAGAGGGGGGGGAGAGTGACGCAGGGATGGAGGAAGAACCAAACTGGGTGCTTACATAATGCTCCCTGATAGACATATAGTCTGAGCCAGGGAGCTATTTTGGGGGGGATTCATATGCAGCAAGCGTCCTAAGCTCCATTCACAACCAGGAACTGAAAATCACATCTTTAGCCTCATGTGACCCAGAACTAATAGTTTCTTCAGGCGGAGTATAGATGAAATCGAGGGTGTATTAGGCTAAAAATCAACTTGTGTTTTCCTGTACACATGGAATAAGCCCCTTTTTTTCCTGCTGTGACCTAAAATCCTGTTTTATTTTTCTGCTCAGCTTTGGCAACAACTTAATCTTTCTCTCCACTCAGATGTATTGGGACTCGATTCAACTGAAGGCTTGTCATTTAAGAGTCGAATCGTGACTGCTTCCAAAATAAAGCAAGAAAAAGAAACTTCCAAGGACTCCTGTTTAAAAAAGAAAAAAGTTCAAATTGCTTTTGCTCAGTTTTAACTTTTGCATTTAAGCTTATGTGTTTGTGATATTTGTCTGGTGTTATGACTCTAAATTAACTGGAAGAGTTCTGGGGCTGCTTGGCTGAATTTAAGCAATGTACCCAGCTTGCTATTACCCCTTCCTGCCAAATTTCTGAATTTCTGGCTCGGGGATACTTGATATTTCCTCCACCTCATCCATCACCACGGTGGTTGAAATCTAGTTAACCAGATTTTACACTTCAGAACAAACTGAGGATAATAAATCCCCCTGTTTGCCTTTTTGCTATTAGGTCATTAACTCCATACCGACCCAATATGGGAGTCTCCATTTTTGTAATTTTCTGCCAACATGTATAATCAAAATGCTTATTATCTCTGAAACTGAGGCCATTTATCAGCCTAAACAAAACACTTTGAACGTCTCCATCCTTATCATATAAAGTAATTTCCTATTTGATAGCAGCCGTACACACACACAGCAGCCTTTTGATTTCCTATTTCGTAATGAGCTGTTGGAATCAATATTGAAAGTGTGTCTCATGGATAACTGCTTCTCTAAATCCCAGCAGATACACATTATTGATTATTTGCATGAGTGAATTGGCAGCATGAGGCGAGTTGAGGATTTGGAAGAGGGGCTTAACTGAAACGCTGCTCTTTTTTCGCTTGCATGTACAGTCAGAGAGCCGGTCTTCGTGGGCCCAGCTGAATTTGGCCCCGTTTCCAACCCTATTTAATTCCTTGTACAAACAATGTTAATGTGACCAAGACTGGGGCTCAGCAATGTAAAATATACTGTTATGAAGAGCTTCTTGACATAGAACTACACTTGGGGTTATGAGTGGTTAATTGGAAACCGCAGTAACAGGCATAATACAGCCTAAGTGAATCTTAAAGAGTTTTCTTTTCTTTTCTTTTCTTTTTTTTTTGAACGATTTGGGATCCAGGATTTACAATTTACTGATTTTAAAAAGGTAGATACTAGGGCCTGACCAATTTATCGACGAGCCGATTAAATCAGCCAATTTTAGCCCGTTTGAGACTAATCGGTAATCGGCCAAAACGCTTTTCCGGTCTAAGTTTGATTCATGATAAATAGTTTTTATCATGAGACCAGCACTTTACACAAAATACCTCATTCATTTTCAGTTGTTTTAGCAATAAAAAGGATTTGAAATGAGTTTTCTGCCTGTAATTCTTTGAAGATAAGTAGATATGTTACTTAAATTCACAACATTTTAAAACTACATGAAAATTTTAAAAAATCAGCCAATTAATCGATAATTAGATTTTTTCCCCCCTAATAATCCGTATCAGCGTCGGCCCCAAAAAATCCATATCGGTCGGGCCCTAGTAGATACAATGCAAAAAGACAAATGAAGGATGAACATATGCAAGGTCATCTTTAAGGAGTTAAAGCTCCTGTAAGGAACTTTTAATTCAGATAAATTTGGCGTCCTCAAACTATCTTGTCCTCTACCCGCTTTTGATGGTCAAATTAATCCATTTCTATTTTTAAAAAGGTGTTTAAAAAACTGTTTCTCTCACACCTACCCCCTTGCTTAGTAAATATTACACTACAAAAATAATCAAACTTGTGTCTGATGTTCTTAAACATAAAAAGGCATCAATATGAGTTTCAGTCTACTACCTAAGCATCCAAAAACCTCCTCATAGAAGCTTTAAATGTTGAAGATAGAGGCTATGTGTATAGATCTATATACACTCACCGGCCACTTTATTAGGTACACCTGTCCAACTGCTCGTTAACACTTAATTTCTAATCAGCCAATCACATGGCGGCAACTTAGTGCATTTAGGCATGTAGACATGGTCAAGACAATCTCCTGCAGTTCAAACCGAGCATCAGTATGGGGAAGAAAGGTGATTTGAGTGACTTTGAACGTGGCATGGTTGTTGGTGCCAGAAGGGCTGGTCTGAGTATTTCAGAAACTGCTGATCTACTGGGATTTTCACGCACAACCATCTCTAGGGTTTACAGAGAATGGTCCGAAAAAGAAAAAATATCCAGTGAGCGGCAGTTCTGTGGGCGGAAATGCCTTGTTGATGCCAGAGGTCAGAGGAGAATGGCCAGACTGGTTCGAGCTGATAGAAAGGCAACAGTGACTCAAATAACCACCCGTTACAACCAAGGTAGGCAGAAGAGCATCTCTGAATGCACAGTACGTCGAACTTTGAGGCAGATGGGCTACAGCAGCAGAAGACCACACCGGGTGCCACTCCTTTCAGCTAAGAACAGGAAACTGAGGCTACAATTTGCACAAGCTCATCGAAATTGGACAATAGAAGATTGGAAAAACGTTGCCTGGTCTGATGAGTCTCGATTTCTGCTGCGACATTCGGATGGTAGGGTCAGAATTTGGCGTCAACAACATGAAAGCATGGATCCATCCTGCCTTGTATCAACGGTTCAGGCTGGTGGTGGTGGTGTCATGGTGTGGGGAATATTTTCTTGGCACTCTTTGGGCCCCTTGGTACCAATTGAGCATCGTTGCAACGCCACAGCCTACCTGAGTATTGTTGCTGACCATGTCCATCCCTTTATGACCACAATGTACCCAACTTCTGATGGCTACTTTCAGCAGGATAATGCGCCGTGTCATAAAGCTGGAATCATCTCAGACTGGTTTCTTGAACATGACAATGAGTTCACTGTACTCAAATGGCCTCCACAGTCACCAGATCTCAATCCAATAGAGCATCTTTGGGATGTGGTGGAACGGGAGATTCGCATCATGGATGTGCAGCCGACAAATCTGCGGCAACTGTGTGATGCCATCATGTCAATATGGACCAAGCTCTCTGAGGAATGCTTCCAGCACCTTGTTGAATCTATGCCACGAAGAATTGAGGCAGTTCTGAAGGCAAAAGGGGGTCCAACCCGTTACTTGCATGGTGTACCTAATAAAGTGGCCGGTGAGTGTAGATCTGTGTTCAAGTCCTCTTTTTTCTGTGCAGCTCAATTTTTAAAAGTTATTAGGGGGTTCATGTTTTCTACGATTGACACTTGATACAGCCTATGGGCGTATGAAGATTGCGTAACTCACTCGGGGGATACCCTGTTTGAGCCAAGCGTCACCACAGCGACTCTCTGTGACTCTCCCGCCG